ATTAGGGTGAACTGTAAAAAATGGGACACTTACGAAATAACTGGAGGTTCCTCAAGAATGAGAAGCGATTAGACTTTCCACTTTTGATAGATGTTAGAATACGTTATTATCTTTCAGATAATACCTATATAAGGCCATTTACATGATTAATAATTTTTATACTTGCTGAAATGCAAAGTTGCTCACTTCGATAAATTATGAAGTTTGAGCAGTATCTGCGCAACGAAACGTCTGAGACCACCCAGTATCACTGCTGGAGTGGGGGGTGGGACAGTCACTAAACCCACGACGGCTTGGTGGTCTCGACTTTCAAAGCCAGGAGATATGGCCATCAGCAGCTTTGAGGACAAAGAACGCGCTATTCAATTCTTTGCAGGCGAACCATGTTTTCTAGGTATCATCTGATAGAGCTTTTTGCGCTCTATCCATCCATATGCAGCTTATCTCAGATTTTATCTATCTTTGGAAAATATAGGGCAAATCATGATTTTTTGTTCTTTTCTATTGCGACAAAAATAGCTATTTTTCGGGTTTTTTCGCTTTTTTTTCTGAAATTGAAAAGAAGTCTTTTGCATTTAACATATCGTTTGAAAGAGCATGAAAAGCTCTTTCGAATGGTATGTCATATGCTTTACGACTTTACGTGTAGCAGCGCAAGATCGAGAACTGTTCCAAAAACCCTGTCTGAGTTCTTCACGGCGCCACGCGTACGATTATGAGAGAGGAGCGGTAACGCGTTGCCAGAATAATAGGCGAAGGTCGTTTATGTAAGCGACGTTTGAGTTGTAGCCTGCTTGTTGTTGGTGAGAACAAAAAACCTCAAAATGTAAAAAAATCAAGCTGTCCCATTTTTTACCGTTCACCCTAATAGAACCTACTCATTTTTAGTAATTTATCATTGCTTGTTCTTTTGATTTGTATGTGTAAGCTAGTAGGGCACATATCTACATTTCGTTACGCGGAAGGTCTCAATGAGATCTTATTAGTGAGACTGTCATTGACTGCCGTGCGTAGTGTGTATATTCAGAGCTACGGGTGCGGAAAAAATACTGTTCCTCAAAATATAGTCTAAAAAATTGGCGTAATTCACAGATTTTCCTGGTAAATTTGACATAACTCCCAAGATGTGGATATATCTAGCATTTTACAAAAACTGGCCTCGAAATTCTAGGAACCCGGCGGCGGATCCCTTTTCGCAGCCCATTTTCAAATCTTGCAACTCCCCATTACAGGTGTGAAGAAGTGCGAAGATTTTTGGGAACTTTTTTTTGTTTGTCATGCGAAATTGAGAAATCCCCTACTGGTTAAAAAATGTGGTAGTGGATACCGAAATATTCTGGAAGCAGCCAGTCAGCAATTGCACTAGTGGAAAAGCTGTTAATTTTTTTAATGAGGAAGTGGCTGCGGCGCAGCAGAGTGCGTTCAGAAAACGTGGCACAGAGACTAGGTTTAATCGTCTATCGCTCCAAAATCGTGCTGTAGACAAAGTCCGATGCTTCTTTCATTATTCCTGTCACTTTTTGTTGTAATCTGTCTGTCTAATTAGTCTTTTAGTCTTTTTGTTGTAACCTCTACACTGTCTTCTTTGCTGAACACTTTTGTAGAAGAAATTACAAGGAATCAAAAGCCATTATATTGTTAAGAAATCATGTGTGTAAGGCAAACTTGGTCGTACAGAGCCATGTTCGGCTTCTTGATGAGCTAAGACATGCAGTTAAATTACTTTATAATCTTAAAGCCTGAAGGTGGACTGAAAATGCAACAATGTGCTCAATTTCGCAATTTTTTTTGTACGGTTTTTTGCAGTAAAACTGTTCGTAAATTCGTCTGTAAAGGCGCTATGATTACAGAAAAGCGTTCTATGCTGCATCGGATGGTATGCAGCTTATTATGGTCCACTTCGACTGACCATTCCCTCGTTAGATCCCACCACCGTTGAATAAACATTGGTTGTTAATAGTATCAATTACTTTTACAATGAGTAAGTTTCGGTGTAGATAGGTTTTGGTAATTACATATTCGTTCACGAAGCGATTTGTTCGAGGCAACACAATGAAAAATTTTTTACCGTGCTGTTAAATGCTGCGAAATCTGCAATTCAATGGCCAAAACAAATGATGTGACTAAAAAAGTAAGTAAGGCGCGGGACATTTGATCTTTCATGTCAAATAATAATCCAAGTTGATCAAAAACGTTCACGGTGAAAACTTGAAGTTCGCATCACCAAAAGCTAACATTTTGGCCAACAAATTTTATCCTTGCAGTTCTTCCGCTCTAGTTTTGATCCAAGCCTCAAATCTTTCCTAAGCTCTATCAGCGATCTTATCCTCCATATCTTGACATTACTTTAATCTGTTCAGATAATCTTTATTTCCCTCTGCTATCATCGAGTAGGCGGACGAGAATCGGCAGCGTATGCCTATGTTGGATTCTTGAATATCGACGCGCATGGACCAAAGCTGTGCCGCATTCCCCTTTAGATATTGTGGCACAGTTGTGTTGCGTCGCACTTGCACAGAGAGCTATGGTTGCGGATCAAATCACGCTTTCGCTTAGATTCAGCCAGCGTTGAAGGAGACACGCACTTTGATACAGGGTTATGGAGAAAATAAGCAAAGAAAGGAACCTAAAGGGTTTTGCACATCTCCGGTCGTCGGTGATATCTCCCAGATTTCGAGTAAACCGTCAAATGAGTCTTCCCTTCTTACGTATTTACGCTCTGCATCAAGGCTAAAAAAATATACTGCAAAACCGAGGAGTCAGTCAGTTCTCATGAGCCATTTCAAAGAATTCCTGTAATAGATAGAAAATGCGTACATCGACATTGCAGATGGGCGGAGACGAGTTCCTTGAAAACCCAACAATGCTCAATCATATGTGCATTTTAATGAAGTGGGAAAGGATAAGGCACAGAGACTACCCTATGAGGGAACACAAAGGAACAAGAAAATTATCCCAGATGTTGACATGGAACAAGTGTCTGCTCAACTTCAAACCTGCCTGATGGGAGTGCTACTGAAAACTGATCAACATGCTTATCGCGGCTCCCAGCTACTGAAAACTAACCAACATACTTATCGCGGTTCCCATGTGCAGGGAAAAGCTCTTTGGCGAGCCGAGTCGAATGCAAGAGACGTTCACAATTTAGACTTATCGCGGGCTCAAGATGGGTACCATTGACCGATTATAAGGTTTCGATAGCGGCCGACGTCGAAAATCGCTTTCGTTTCCCGGTTGCTTCCACCTGAACGCGCAGTGTACGGTTTACCCCGCTCGTCCACTGATTTTCTTAGCTACTTGCACCACCATAGCTCGCCGGTCCATAGTCTACCTGCATCTATATTGTCCCCAAAAAAGAACCAACGATGAGGCTGAAAATCACCTCAGAGGCTTGCAGAAGATCCTCGTGAAGAAACAGCCACCCTAGATACCATCGTTTTGAGGAGCTTTACATCAGTTTACCATAGCACATTTTTGCTCTTGCTTCATCGAACGACCTTCTTTCCCCTTCCTCGACTGCGTTCTCAGGCACTCTCCTATTTGATCCACTTGATCCATTTGATCACTTGCACCTGCAGAAGCATTCATTCTATCGGTCTCGATTAGCAACACACAATGAACACGGCACTAGTGGCATGATATACTTCAAACTATCTCAATTGACAAGATTACAGCATAGGATGACAGAAAGGATCAAATGTTAATTAGCGAAATAGCTCGAAATACAAAACGAAAAGAAAAGTCAATGGGCGGTTCATACACATTAGAAAATGAAGGCTTTAGATAACAGGCTAGCAATGAGAGAAAAAAGATGGAAATAATAATGTTCTTGTTCAATTTTGATTTCCCATCCCTATCTCATCGTTTTCTCCTCCTGTTGCATTAAAACTTTATTTGGACGTTGCATGCGGCCTGCATTGCTCCATATGAGGCTAGAAGGTGAGCGAAGCCAAGGGGCGTGGTCGCATTCGCGACGTCAGCTTTCCTCGGGGTGCAATTAGTGGCGATGCAACACAACTGCAAGATAAACCCGAAAGGGAATGTGGCGTAAATTTGCTCCAGGACGTCTGCCCTTGTCCATCGAACTCAAAAATCTAAGGAAAAGCAAAAATATTGTACTTTCTGTATGAATAAAAACTCGTGGCATTGATGGATCAAGGTTATAAGAGAGTGTTTGAGGTGGCATCCTTGTTAAATCGCTTGAAGGAGCTAAAGCGAGCTGTTTTGGTAGCAAGGATTATCGTCAGGTATCCGTCACTGAGGCGAGTACGACAAAGTGAGTTTGCTTGTTCAATTGACTTATGCAAAATCTTCACCTCGACTGGGAATAACCGGTAAAATGCCTGAACAGATCGCAAACTTTTTTGGTTCGCTGCAGCATTTGAAAATAAGCACGCTATTTTCAAAAACTCATCAAAATTGTGCTAGCTTAGAGACTTTTTCAGAGGTTTTTTTTCTTGACTGTTAGTCACTCCCATAATTCAAATCATTCGCGCATCTGCAAATTTTATTTTTTCCAAACTGTTTCGTCTTCGCGCTCCCCGCTCCCCTTGACATGCGAGCAGTAATGCAAATTTTTGAAAGCATAGTGGTGATGCAATCAAATGCAAATTTGAAAGTGAGGAATGAGGATACAACGTAGCTTTGAAAGCGAACTACTGTTTAGAACGAATTTACAAACAATTACAAACAATATCGAGCTTTTCTTTTCTTTCCAATCATCATCGATTTTGATAAAGTGTCCTGGATTGATAACAAATTATGTTCATGAAATTCAGATTAGAAAGGTGACTGCAGAAAGTTTTCGCATGCTTACTTTCTGCAGTCACGTTGCATCGTCAATCATGGCTTACATTCTTTAGTGAAACAGGATTTCAGAAATGGAAGTGAGTGCAACCATCTCCTCTTCAGAAGAATGTCCTTCTTCTTTTTCAAATTCACTGATTTCTGTAGATCGCAATCATATAGTATACGGCATATTTTTATTGCACGGTATCGGCATGTTAATGTCATGGAATATGTTCATCACCATAGCACCACAGGTAGGTTGTGAAAGAAGGCTAGTGTGGTAAATTACAACTTTTCACTAGCGATTCATAAGAATAGGCAGTATTTAGTACTATGTGTCTTACTGGTTCACTGTGGATGGAAATGCTACGCAATATGCAGAAAGTTTTATGAGTGTTCTTGGAGCAACTTCACAGATCCCAGCCGTGGGGATTATGTTCGTGAATATGGCAATAGTGATCGCGTATGTATTTTCAAGCCCTTCTGCGTACACGATTAGTAACTAACATGATTTGCAGAGGATCGCTAATGATGCGGATTGTTGTACCGCTTATCATCAACTGTTTTCTGGTTCTTACTATCATTGCTCTTGTCATCTTCGTGCAACCAAATGATATTGGTAAAAAATACATCGTTTGCAGTCCAAACTAAAATAACTTATTCAAAAAATTATTTTCACACCCTATGAATCTATGATCATTAACAACCGAATCTGACTAGAAAACAAGGCACTTCACATTTGCAATTTCGGAAAGAAAGAATACTGAGTCTATCCAGCCGTTTGTAGCAAGAGAGATGGCTCATTCGGTTTGGAACATTGGGCTTAAATCCAATCTGCAGTTACTATCTGCTGAAGGGTATTTCAAATGGCCATTTTCGAGCTAGCGTCATAGGAAAATCTAACGGGATACTTGAAGTAGCTTTGGAAAACATTTGGTAAATAATAAGCGTGGTAAGCGTGATGTCCCATAGGCAAACGGTCCTACTCAGATAATCGCCGGGGGCAGGCGGCCATGCGAGTTTTGAGCAAGCGCGTACCGGAAAAATAGTTCGCTGTTTCTTGCGCTCCGCTTGCAGAAATTTAGGATAATTTTAGCGAATTTTTGGACGAATGCTTGGAGAAGAATCGCTGTTTTCTTATAGATTAGCTGCGGCGCAGTGGCCGCATTCTCGCGGACTTTCCGCGAGAATATGCAAAATTTTCGGGGGCCGCACGGTCCTTTGTGGAGGACCGCGCAGCCCCCAGGTACTTTCCGCTGGGAGAAAGTACCTCAAACTTGAGTAACTAAACCAGCGGTGACACCTCTGCCACACAGAGTCTTACCTGTGCTTGACGTAAGCCCGAAACTGCTTGAAAACCGTCCGAGCGCCAGCTGAAAATTTGACTAGCGCCCGCTGAAAGAGATTATTTGACGAGCGCTGCAGAAAATTCTGTGTTGCTGCCCGATGGCAGAATATTAGACAGTAAAGGAAGTGCCGCCCGCTGAAGGTTTGGCCACGCCCCAAAATTCTGCTGACCGCTTGCAGGAAAGTGCGAGTTTGCGAACCGCCTGCCCCCGGCGATTATCTGAGTGAATCCGAACCTTATTGTTAGCACTTCCATGTATTTGCAGAATGACAAATATGGTCACATTTTTCTGCAACAGTGAGTGAATGCAGATTTGATCTACCTATTTTTGTTACAAATGGCTTTATCAATTTACTGTTTACTATTTTTCCCTTGTGTTGGACGAATAGCTGCACAAGATATGAAGTAAGATGGAGAATGCTTACGCGAGATAATTTATTCTCTGTAATGCGGTAAAAAATTCCAGCTACAAAAAGCTTTTTTTCTGAGATTTTTGACATGCTTTTCATGATGTTAGTAGGCTTATAATTTTGAAAATTGAAAAATAGCAATCTCGTTTCGCCACTTTATGGGTGTCGTGACCGGGTTGGCGAGATGTGGGTGCCGCGCTTCCTTTTAGCGCTACGTCTTAGGCATCGGGCATACCTGTCGCGATTTCGATCGTTGCGCTATTACTCCGCTGGATATGTGTTCCTAACTCCTCGCGCTCAAGTATCTAAGAGAGTGGGTCCCGCCGCATTCGTACAGTTTGTAGGGGCGATAACGCGTGCCATCGCGAGCAGTTTCTTGACGGGCATACCTTTAGTGGGGATATCGCTACGACATCGCCGAAACTGAGAGAAATCGCGTCGCAAAGTCTGCTCCAGCGACGGGCAATATGTCGTGTTGCTTCCTTTTGTCTGGAGAAATTCCGCAAATCTTTTTTCTCAATTTTGACTGATGCACCATGCGAATAGCACCGCATGACCTGCCCTTTCGCTGCACACTTATTTCCACTCACCACTCTGTATTGCTTGACCACTCTTCACTTATCCCCTTCTTTCTCTTATACTTTCCACTTAACTTTAACTCTGGATCCACGGAAGCGTTACTAAATTGTCTTGGCAATGGAAGTAACTGTTTTTTCTACTTGTTTATTTGTATTTTCCGCTTTCGTTTTCCCTTTTCCGAATCTCCTGACTACTTGAAAGTTTTCTACTGTGTACTTGTCTGTTGCTTTACTGACTACTTTACTTTAGATTGCTGCTACTCTTGGCTTGCACTCCTAAGTGCTGTACGTGTGGCTGATGTGTCGGCAAAATGCAACAACTTGTCGCCAGCATGCAATTGTATGTTGGCAGCAATGTGATGTCTGCCATCCTTGAGCAATACGCAGTTGCATGTTGCTACATAGCCATACGTGCCGCAGTCAAAGATGCAAACCAAGGCTAGCATAATCGTAGAATGGGCGATGCTGTGGTGGACGCGTCTATGAGTCTTAGCGTGTGGGATTAATGTGTGAAAGAGGGAGTGAGAACTCGGTAATGTTTGCGTTCATTATGGCGTGAAGTGTGAGCAACGAGTTTGTAAAAGGCATGCCCGGAATCGAAGCGATAAGACGCCGAGGCGTTCGATGCCTCGGCGATGAGAATTGCTACGATGGAGTCGCTGGAGGTATTTCCGAGGCTTTAGGCCCTTGTACACTTAGGCCCGTATGCACTAACATTTTTGCGGCGAGGGGAGCGGCGTCCCCCGTTATGAAGGGACCGCGTGCGGACGCCGCTGCGGCTTTTTCATCATTGGGGACGCCGCTCCCCTCGCCGCAGGGATGTTAGTGCATGCGGCTTTTAGACTCGTATGCACGTACGTCCCCGCTGGGGAGGGGAGGGGAACTGGATCCCCAGGGGAACGGTCCCCTCCACTGAACCCCGCCATGACAGAGGGGAGGGGATCGATCCCCTTCCCTGCATCTCAGCGAGGATGGTGTGAATGGTTTCCGAGGTATTGATCCAACGAACCCCAGTGCATACGGGGTTCGCGTGAGGGAGGAGATCCCTTTCCCCTCCCCACTCGATCCCTGTATGCACGAGTGTAACTCAACAACGCGGGGGAGGGGATCGACAGCCCCTACAACGGAGTAGGGGTTTGATGGTGTAGGTCATGCCAGAGAAGCAACTAATTTGTGGCCGTATTCACCATTAATACCTTGAGGTAAATTCTACCTCCAGGTGGTTTTATTTACCTTGAAATAAATTCTCAATGCAACTTCTAACCTTAGCTAGGGGCAAGGTTAGACGGATGCCTTTAGAGATCTATAGACTTTTATAGGCTGGTTTTTTGCATGATCAATCCAGTAACATAGTTTAGGTCACTGTAGCAACCTTGCGAAATTTGGTTGAAATCGTCGACAGTTTTAGGGGTTGAACGAACCAAGCACAAAATTTCTGTCTATACTCTTACAAACTTCATGGATTTTAGTAAACGCCCAAAATCTTTATTCTGTTGCACTTAAGGTAGTCATACACAGCATTTGTACATTATGAACTCAGTAGCACTGTTGAAATCACAAAGTCGAAGTTGCTTCAGAACCACTTCGTTCGTGGTCTTCAAATCTCTATAAAAGAAAGACGCTGATGTTCAAAGCGGCTAATTTTCGATATTGATACTTCTTAACTTCTTAGTCTTGTATTTCAGATACCAAATTTCGTTGCCTAAGATAAAATCGGGCGAAGTCTTCAGCGCGACGAAAGAGTTGGCCTTTGAATGCAAAAATTAAATAACTGTTGCTGGTTCACAAAATTTTTGACACCTTTATTCTTCTTTTTCTATGAACATACATATGAGCTGAAGCAGCATGTAATACTAGGAAGTTTATTCTGAAAGCAGAAAACTGATATATTTTAGCTTAATCTGCCATCGCAAGCTTAGGTTTGATATAAAAAGCTCTACGAACATTTTCCAAATATCAATTCAAATAAAGTGGAGAGATGCCAAAGTATGAGGCGAAAATAATTAAACTCTTGCGCACCCCCAGAATCGATGTAGCATCATTAGGCAGGTAAAAATTTCCCACCTTGGTTGAGAAATCAAATAGTATGTCAAAAATCAGGAACCGATTGTCACGATATTGCTAGGCGACTGAACAAGGAAAAATATCTTCAGACAGGCAGATTTTATTATTGGAGAATGAATGCTACGAATCTAAAATGAAACCTAAAAATAATTAATTAGTCAGATTAAAACCCTTAGAGCCTAAGATGTCGACCAATTGACAGAACCGTTTCGAAATCAGTAACCGCAGCGTTTTGAACCCTAAAGGCAAGAACCTTGTGCAAATATCATGCGGATACACAAAAAACAACTAGTCGCAAGTACGTCATGCCATGCCCCTAATATACGTCAGTCCTTATCATGCTGGCACAGGTAAATCTAACCTTCAGAGAAAAACTTTGATGAATACGAAAATTATACCTTGAGGTAAATTTTACCTTGAGGTACATCTCAAGGTGAGTTGCATTGCAGTGGGGTTCATTCTCATAACATCATTCTAATTGGAAGCAGGGGAGGATGTGTTGAATAAAATTAGTTCTTTTTCTAAAGGACGGCCAAATTTGCCGAAAAGAACTCCGATTGTCCAAAAGCGCCGAAAAGCATTGAAAGCGGGCAAAAGCGCCACGCGCCAGCCACAAGATCCTGAAAAATCACTGAGGTCTGCAAGCTTAAAGTTATTGGCACGGTCAAGTTCTCTTTTTTTGAAACAATCATCGTTTCAGACTTTGAAAGGAGCCAAGTAACAGGTAAATAATGCAAAACCAAACAAGGTAAGAACCTTTCAAACTCAAAAACTAAACTTATATAAATTTTTTGAGTACAATAAAAGACAGTGATTATAATGTGACCGGCGTGATTATCCAACGATGTTTTGGTAGAAAATGCAATCTCATAACCGAAATCTGCCACTTAAAGTGATTGGTAATACATTTCAGCTTTTTCGGGCTTTCGCATCCGAAAAGTTTTTCCTCCCAGTGGCAGGACCATTCCAAGAATTTATGTTTTGATTTTACAATTCTTCAATGAAGAGAAACCAGCGTTTTGTGCACGATAGGAATACCAATTTTTTTGAATCAATGTCATCTTTGCGGCAAACCCCATTGCAAACTTCGGTTCGAATGCAAAGGATTCAGCAAAGTTACACTGTTGCAAAGTTAGGTTGAAAGACTTTGAGACACCCTGTACATATTTCTTCGAGACCACTGCAACTTGCTATCCTCCGCTTATAAGTTTCGAAAATGAAGTGCGAACTCATGTTTTGTCAAATATGTAGTTTGAACAAAGAAAATGGCCACAAATTCCCTCTGATCTTTTGAGAGCTGAGTCATTCTCATTTTATCGTGTTCAAACATGTAAAGGTACTTCGAACCGTCTCCCTGTCAAAACATGTCATTTCGGGCCCGAAGGACACAATTAGCAACAAATTTTGCCATAGCAAAAGTTCTGTTGGCAATAAAAAACTTGATGCATAGCTTAGACTCAGAGCATTCGGCATAAACGTCACTGTATAGCAGACTGGCAAAGGTAGAATTTACCTCAAGGTACATTGATGAATACGAATCGCTCAAGATACAATTTACCTTGAGGTAAAGTTTACCTCAATGTAGAATTTACCTTAGGTTCAATGATGAATACGGCCTCTGATTTCAATCAGTTATTACAAAGCATTTCGTTCAAAGATGAAAGATTTTTCATGGTAGCCGGGTTCCTCTCTCAGCGACCTGTAGCTTGCAGTTTTGTCTCTCTCCTCTATATTCGCTTCTCGTGAAAAAATCCGGGCATATATCTGCCAGCTTCGAATATCTGTAGGAGTTTCTAAACATTCTCGAGATTTGCGCATTTTTTATATGACATGCTAGTTTTATCCATGAAAACTGGTACAACACATTGTAACTATCATATTATGTGATATGATGTCTTTATCTTGTTATCCTAACGTAAGCTGCTTTGAAAAAAATGAAAATTAGCAAATTTGCCCATTTCTGTGTTGAGATCCTCGGGGGAGTGATACTCTCCCCAGCGTTCCTCTCGTGCATAGCAAGAATGGCCGCTGGGGATCATTCCCCTGAGGTAAAGGATGATATGTCGCTAATAGCTACAGCGTTCATGGCATGGCATGCGTTCTAGCACGATTTGCAGCTTCTGCTATGCGTAGAAATGCTGGTTAGTTTCCCCCTCTCCTTTTTTCGGCAGCAACAAGTCTTCTACCGTTCTCTGTAGAGAAATCTGACTTCTATTGTTGAACATTTACGCTAAAATGGGCAGCATGAGCGAAAATGAGAAGCATCATGACAACAGCAGGACTATATTGGGCCTAGAAAATATAATTTTTTGGTGTGCCGAGCGCATTCACGGCAGATGCGCATTCCGCAACGCCTAAATTATTGCCGATGACGAAAATTGAAGATAAGCAGTCGTCAAAAGATGAGAATATAAAAAAAACGCCATATGAAAGCGAAAGAAAAGTGATGTCCCCGCTCGATCCCCTTGTGCATAAGGGGGTTCCCTTGCCCTACTCCCAGGGAATCCCTTCGCCATATTGTCCGCTTGCATACGAGGGTTCGCCTGGGAATTGGAGGGGAGCCCCAGCGGGGATCATTTCAATAGTAAAACGCACATCCCCTCCCCGCGGGGATGTACATGCATAAGGGCCTTAGTTTCTAAGATTGACAATACAAAATTTTACATACTCAACATTACTTTCTCGTAATAAACATGACTGCTTTAGATCGAAATTGGTTTTACATAATTACACTCGTTATAATAATGCTCATGAGTCTCTGCAATGGAGTGTATCAAAACTCTATTTATGGAATTGTTGCGGATTTTCCCAACAACTATCCAAACTCACTCGTCATTGGTAACAACATATGTGGAATATTCACTAGCCTAATGAGCATTTTCACTACATTAGGTATGTTTATTCTATAGACAATCACACTTTATACCACCAAAAAATTTCAGTGTCACCTGATAGCGTGATGTTAAACGCTTTACTTTATTTCTGCGTATCATTGGCAATCCTGGATATATGCGGATTATCACTTATTGTTCTTGTCAGATTGGTATGTCCACTTTCTATTCATACAATGCTGTACCAAACTTGAGCAGTAGAACAGCTGAGAAAATCTGTGAAGGCAGCGGTAAGAGTTGCTCACGTGCTGCTTTGCGACATATCTGCATTTTTTGCGCGTTTTCGCCTATTTTTCTTTGTTCATGAAACGTACGATAATTGAAGGAATAGACTATTCCTTATGTTCTATTCCTAGCCATACTACCGTTACGTCATGGACAAGGGCGCGCGTGCTCGTTTGCTTGATGACGCCGAACGACCCAGTTTGAGACAGTACTGGGAATGTTTGAGTTATGTGAGTCATACACTCAGACAATTGCTCGGAAAGTTCGCGGCCTCAAAGCGTGTTACATGGCGCACCGCGGCCCTTAAAATTTCAGCCGCACACGCAGCGGCCCATGTATATTTTACCGGGAACGCCGCGGCCAAAGTTGAAATCGGGAAAAGATTACCGGGAAGGTCGCGGCCCAACCACCTCACTCGGCGGGCCGCGGGCCCTATCAAAGGCCGCACTTCTTACACGCTGTAGTTTAAGGCGCAACCCTCGTGAGGTACGTCGCAGCGATGGGGCTACCCTAAGTCTTTATGGGGCTGAGTATCGCTTCTCGGATTTGGTCCTATCTGACAGAGTTGAGTTATTATGCTGATAAAATAAACTTCAGCAGTCGGATGAGTAACATCGACGACACTAGATGATGTCGACAGATGAGCTAAAAAGTTGCTCAATTTGTGCCCAAGTCGTTGTCATGAAAGACACGCCAAAAGATTTTTCACTCTTCCCTAGGCCTCACAAGCATGCTAATCGGGTCAACTATCGGGCGCGTACAGGGTGCACTGCGGTCACTTATCGGGTTCAATATCGTCCATACCGGGCAGCTCGCGGCATGGATGATTGGTGGTCGAGCAAGCACCCGCGAACTTCCCGATGCGATTGTCTGAGCAGATGCACCAGATTACTATAAGCAATATGTTAATTCCAGTGCTGGGTCCAACTTTTCAACAACTTCTTTGTCTACTTTATTACACTTATGATATTTCCTGCCATGATGACAGATACACCTTTCTACAGACAATCAGGCGATCCGTGGGGATCTATCCTTCCAGGTAAGTTCTTGACGACAGTTTTTTTTCCTTCCAAACTTCCAAACTTCCAAAATTTCAAGTTTTGAAGCTTTCATTGGATCTACGATGAATTTCAGAAAATCTCTACTTTGCCATAAACACATTTCTTAACTTCAACGTTTTTGCATCACTTGGCTCTTTGTCCGCAAATTTCGTACATTATGTAAGTTCTTATCATGCTAGTTGAAAGTCTATGCAAAGTAAATATTTCAGCCAAAGCCGAAGTTTTTGTGGATACCAGTAATAGCCCGGGTACTATTCGTACCATTTTTTATGTTCTGCAACTACCAACCTGTAGGCAAACATAGAACGATAGGGGTAAGGATGAATTTTGGCCATAGTAAATTTACGTCAAATCTCAACAATCTGCATTATTATGAATCACAAGCTTTCCAACGAGTTCTCTCAAGTTCGTGGAATCTAAGAAAATAACACCATATCTTTCAAGCGTATCGTGATACAGGGCTCTTGTATTCAAGTGAGAAGCAAGTGTTCTACGTTTTCATAAGTTTTGCACCAAAAGGAATGTGAGCAGCTGGGATACCCGACTTCCCTCGGCACACATGCACTTTGCTCTCGAAACAAATCAAACTTGTATTCCTCAAGAAGAGGAAAAAAACTTCGAGTTATGTCTATGCTACTAGGTTGATTCATAATTAATGGCACGGAAGGGCCGCGACGATCATTCAAGGTCGCAATTGAATTTTTCGGCTCAGAATTCATGGAGAATTTTTTTAAATAGCATCTTGTAGCACAAATTTTCCTGATCCTCATGCATATTTTTTAAAATTAATGTGGCTATTCCTTATGGTTTCAGGGCAAAAAGAGTGAAAAGCAAAAATTTTCGGATTTAGTTTCTTTCATTTGAAGGCTCAGAACTTTGAAATGAACGGAGATGTACGAAAGCGAAGGCCCACTTAAGAAACTAGAAAAAACTCTGTTTCAGATAGCATAAGAAGTTTTTGAGTGTATTGACTACTCATCAAATACCAGCTCTTGGAAGAAGAGGTGTGAAAAACGTGCATTAATTATAAATAAACCTAATATTTCGGCCCCTCCAGATTTCTGTTTCATCCTAGCTTTCCAGGGGAATCATCGGTAAGAAAGGATTGCTCAATTTGATCTAATTATTAAGTTGTTCCCACATTTCCAAATAGATGGAGCCATTTTTGTTTCCATAGCAGACTTAGGATACATTGTTAGAGCGGATCAAGCTCTACAAAAGCCCACCAAAGATCCACCTAACAAGGGAGGGTCGCGGAGACGAAGTGGCCAACTACCACAAACCGGACTGATGAGAAATTGGAACTCTGATTCTACGGCTTTTTTTATTTATAGAGCGCTTTTGGTAAAGAAGTTATGAGCATTTTATGTAGTCGAAATACGAATTTATTGCCGAGATAGAATAAGCCGTTACAGCTTTTTTTAAACATTGAGACGGTAGCAAGGGTTAGGATACTTTGGAAAATAAACCCCTTCTGTTTGAAATTTGAGTACTTCTTATTTTCTCGCTTTACGTTTAGATAGACTGTAACGATTGTTTCTTCTCGGCCAGCAGCTCGTTTTTCGCCTCAAAAATGTTCATAATTTCTTTCACAAAGTCGCTCTGCAGGTAAAGAAAGCAGATTTGGAATCAGCGTATGAAGCTCTCACTAATGTTTTGCGTCGTCATCCTTCCTTATAAGTTGTAACCCACGTAAAGTTTGGAGCCAAAAAAATATTTTAGCACCTTAAAAATTTGCTTCCAAAAAGTTCCTACGGACTTTTTGGTCTCAATATAGTAGACAATAGTAGCAAAAATGCATTTGGTGAATATTTTCTGGGGATCAAAATTAAGAAACAAAAATGGCCTGAAAATGCTAAAGTGTTATTTTTCCGGGGTTTAAAACTTGGTATTTCTTGATTATAAGAGCACATACAGGGGTAAAGTTTTGAGATTATTAAGTAGGGTTTGTAGTATACAATGACATATGTGGGAAGGGATGGGGCGGAGTTTGCAATTTTGGGGTTTTTTCTCGCTTTCTATGCGCGAAAAAGTCCAGTCAAGGCTGTTTGAGTACTATGTGCCTACTGTTTAACACGTTGACGACGAGCCATTTTTTGAAGGTCTGTCCCTGTGGACGAACCGTTTCCGGGCATTTTCACAGCCGGCTGCATGTGTGTATGTATGCATCTATGCGTGAGGTACAAAAACGCAAGTGGGTGGGGTAGCTCCGCTCATTTTTGGCAAACCCCGCCCACTTTCCAAAAATGCTAGAAATTGCTAAAAATTAATGAATTCATGCAAATTCCGGCATTTTTGAAAAGTGGGCGGAGCTTGCCACTGAGGGAGTGGAGCCTGCATTACGGGGGGCGGGGTCAAAATTAAGAATATTTGAGGTTCTCCAGTCATCTACGAGCTTTTCTATTCGATTTGAGGACGAAAAAAGCTTTTCATAGAGAGCAATGGAGTGGGCGGAGTTTGCCAAAAAGGGGGCGAGGCCAACATGAAATACTTCTAAGCCTAAGTTGATTATGTGAACACAAATCGGAACCATTGTGCACAATAGAAGTGATGTTTTGGGTGTCACTCACCATTGCGTGCCATCGTCCAGAGGGACAGACTGCCTGTCGCGCACCATTGCGTGCCACCGTCGTCAACGTGTTAAGAACCAAGTTGAGTTACGTAAGATTCTTTCGCGAAAATCCATTTTTCGGATGACAAAATCTTTTTCATTTTGGTTTCAAACCTTACATGGGCGACTTAAGCATCCTTAATGGTCATTTTGTAGAGCTTGATGAGTGACCTAGAACCTAATAAGTTCGAATATTTACCCCCTTTCCTTCCCAAACTCCCACCTCTGATAACTCTTTCTTAATCTCCTGTATCGCCAATTCGGACATTATTCCATTTTCTGAAATTTTTCGTAAGACCCGACTTAGAATAGATGAACACAGCTCTAAACTAGAGCATGCATGTATGATAGTTTCTAGGATGCGCTAGTTATCTGCTTCCCTCTAGCGCATGTGCGTAGGTACAGGTTCGTCGGACTTCCGACTCAGATTCTAACACGCCACGTAGTATATTTAACTGCGCAAGAAAGACTTTCTAGTCTACTCCTACTGCGCATGGAAAGTGCACCTCGCATTATAAATCGTCACCGCGAGTGCAGGCCCACCCGACCGACCCGCTGACTGAGTGGCCGGTGAATGCGGCCGCTTGTCCAAGTTTCCTTTATCGGCTCGCTGCCCGTCTGGTATTTTTGCCTGAGAGTGCTTTTCGTATTTCAAATACGAAACATAAGTATTGGATTGTTTCAAAAGCTCTACCCGTTTTCGATACCTTTTTTAGAACTGCCGATTTTGGAGGAAGAAACCATTTTTCATAAATAATGCTTACATCATGCAAAAGCTCTTTTCTTCTAGTTTTCAAGCGTATTTTCGTTTTCATAGATCTTTGTTCGCTGTGTGGTTGCGTACTTTAAAAAGACAGCGAAGCAAATGTGAAAATTTTCGTCTTTGCTCTATTGCCGTGAAATTTACAGTCAAAAGAAAACTTTTTTTTCAAAACATACATAATACCTGCTGGAGACTTGTGCTACGCGCTCATCGGGATATGATTTCAGGAAAATTTTAAATTTACAAATTTTTAGCTCAAACATAACCTGTCTTTATGGTCCTTTCAAGTCGCATAAAACTCATAAATATATTGCAATTTCAGAACTTTTACTCTATACAGTAAGATTAGAGCCAGAACAACTGCTACTAGAAGAACGAAAGGATTTTATCAACGGCGAACAAAATAAAAAATTTCAAAAAATTGCATTTTTTGCCGCCTCAGGAAGAACAAAGTAAGTGGGTCCTTTCGGATTATTTTTCAGCACAAAATTTTTATGAAAATTTCATGAAATCCAAAGTTAGCGGTATTGCTCAGTCAACTACACTGTGAGCAGTGCTTGTGCAACCTCAGACAATCGCTGGGGGCAGGCGGGCACCGGAAAAATAGATTGCTGATCTCTCGCACCCCGCTCGCGGATTTTTTGGAAAGCAATCAGGACTTTTCGGAAGACCGCTTGCTGAGTTCTCGATTCCTCAGAGATTCAGCAATATATCTGCAAAAGATAAGAGCGAAAAAAAATTCAACAGGCGGTCTCTCAAAAATTCGCTGACTCAGCAAGCGGTGTTCCGAAAAGTCCTGATTGCTTTGCAAAAAATCCTGAGCGGGGTGCGAGAAATCAGCAATCTATTTTTCCGGTGCCCGCCTGCCCCCAGCGATTGTCTGAGACTCAGCAATTCCAAATCAAGTTATGCTTTTGCAAAGTGAAGGTTTCTACAAGGAGATGTTCCTCAATTTTCGCCTATAAAATCTTCTCCACTGTTACTGCAATAATCTTAAAGAGTGCGCATAATAGCCAAGGATTTGCAGATTGTAATTTATAGCAGTTGCAAAGATTATTTCTGAGAAGAGTTACGGTGAATTAAAGTCAAAGTTCGAAAACGGGTAGAACTTTTGAAACAACTTAATAGTTGTATACTACAGTCCTGTAGAAGTAACGCAAATTTTCAGCTCTCTACGAGTCCTCGAGAAACGTGAATTTTAGCTTGGACCACCTGACTAGGGAAAACTATATTCGATATTACTCGAGAACCAAAGCTTGTAGAGAGCCGAAAATTTGCGTTTGTACTTCTGCAGGTCTTCAGTATGCAACTACTTATGTGGGAAATGCAAAGCATCACCTTGGCAAATGCACGAAAATTTCCATTTTCTTGATTTCTAACAAGGGAAAAAATACGGCAACGGCGTGTATAGATGCCTTTTGTGGGTAGTGTTTATGAGAGCGAGTTAGAGTTTTTATGCGATACCTATGAACTGAGTTACGATTTTTCTCGATTTTTCGGGCAGTTGGGTCTTTTTAGTTTTTGGCTCAAAACTCGAGCTGTATTAGAGCTGTTGCTAAAGCATTATCATCTTGTAGAGCTTGCTTTGCTCTATCCAATGGTACTTTGTAGTTACTTAGAAATGAGAACTTTTTGATTAATGCGGTTGAAAATCAAAACGGACATTAATTTCTGGACAACCTAATACGTAGGATGTTCTCTGCAAAAATCCATTTTTCGGATAACAAAATCTCTTTCGGTTTTGGTTTCAAACTTTACATGGTATGCGACTTAGGCATCCTTAATGGTCATTCTGTAGAGCTTGATGAGCGACCTAGAACCTAGTGAGTTCGAATATTTATCCCCCCCCCCCTCCTTCCCAAACTCCCTCCTCTGATAGCTCTTTCTTGAATCTCCTGTCTCGCCAATTCGGATTTTACTCCATTTTCTGAAATTTTTCGTAAGACCCGACATAGAATAGATGAACACTAGACAGCACTAGAGCATGCACGTATGATAGTTTCTAGAATTCGCCAGTTATGTGCTCCCTTTGAGCGCACATGCTCGTCGGGCATCCTACTCAGGTTCTAACACGCAACGTAGTATATTTAACTACGCAAGAAAGACATTCTTAGTCTACTCCTTTTGCGCATGGAAAGTGCTTCTCGCTTTATAGATCGTCACCGTAAGTGCAGGCCCACTCGGTGACTGAGTGCGCTCGGCCATGAGTGCGGCCGCTCTCCAAAGCACTTTTATCGGCTCACACCCCGTTATTTTTGCCTAAGAGTGCTGTTCGTATTTCAAAGCAACAACAAGTCCCTAACAAATTCTAGGTTTTGTTCAAAAGCGAATGGTGCTTCACGATTGGCGGTGCTCTCATGGCATATACTAGTGGATATTTTAGCAGTTTAGCCTTGATCTATACTCCGAGGTAATCGAACCACATAACCTGTTAACGTAGCATTATCGCACATAAGTACGTGTAAAACATATTTCAGTGTTGTTCCTCCTAGCTATCAAAATATCAGTGGCATGGCGGCAGCAATTGCTTTGATGTTAGGTAAGCAGAGACTCTATATTAGGTTGATGCATAATTCTTGTACCAAAATTTTGAAATTCTGTTACTTCCTTAAGCTTTAATCTTCTGATTTGACACATGTTAGAGAGAGGAAATCTTGCGTTTTCTCCCAGTGCTGGAGTCAAGATTCCTTGAGGCCATATTACAGCGATGTAAACGATCAAGGGAATTACCCGAGAATGATTTTTCGATTGTTGGCTACTTAAACTGCTAAAACATCTACTAAAATTTAAATCTATTTTTAGCCTTGGTTTATGACATACTCTCTTTGACTAAGAGAAGTTGGTAGTGATTTCTGCTAATGGTTACAAATTTCAATTTTCAATGGCCTATTGATGTCTCATACATCCTTCATAATGTGCTATAAAACGCTGCTTTAAATAACATTCTTTCTATTTTTGAAGCAAGAATTGTGCATCACGCAGGAAGATTCTCAGCCTAAAAATTTAAGTCTCGTTATCCAAAACAGTTTCGCAAAAAGCTCTTATTTTTTGCAACATATCGGGTCGTCCAGAAGTTTTTTTTGCATCGTCTAAGCGCCACATCCGTCAGAATTGAGATTTACGCAACCTTAGTCATTTTTGATGCAACTTGTCCTCCTCTTTCTACTTTTCAGGTTTGATTGAGATTCTTAATAGTTTCCATGAAATTTACGGTTGTCAACACTACCGTTACTAAGCCCAAACAACCATTTCTTAAAACCTGGGTTAAAAGAAAAACTTGGATCGAACAAAAAATGTGTCACAGTCTTTTGACAGAGATTGAATAGTACCAGATGGAGCAACCTAACAGTATACGTTCTTTTCAAGCCGAACATTTCATAAAAATGTTCTTGCTCAAAAACTGGTTTTCTTAGCACTAACTCAGCCCATGGTGCACCCGTACTTTTAAAACCACATTTTCGAAAGTGAATGAAAAAGCGTTGATTGCTTTGAAACTAGAAAGTCTGAAGAAAGTGCGGATGTCATTCATTCTGTTACTAAGGGACCCAAAACCGCTTTGCACACTTGTCAAAACAAGCTTGAACATGTGTGCGACACACACAGAATGATCACAGAATGTGACCTACTAATTAAATAATTTAAAAGGCATTTTTGCACAATATACAACTGGTGAAGAAATCTTATATGAAGATTCTTCCCCTACTGGGTCAGCTCTATTTAGCTGACTTGTAGTCCTTCGCTTGGCAAATAGAGAAATTTGAAAACTCAGCGAGATCTGAAATGGAAAACCATAGGTTCAAAATTTCGGTGATTTAGAACTCGCTCCTTGCACTGCAATCGAATCGCAACCCTTTGATAAAGCATGAAAAGCTTCATCAAATGCTGCTAAGGTCGTCATTTACTCGATTCTGACGGATGTAGGGCCCAGTCAAAATTTCGAAAACCCTTTAGGGACGTTGATATCAATACCTTCTAGTTTTCTTTTATGTAATGCTAAGCTCTCTTGGATTGTGCTCGATATGAAATCGGTCATTTACCTTGTTGTCTAAATTTACTTCAAAACTCATGTCAATCAATGGTTCAGTTGGTGGAAGCTCAGCGCTTTCTTAGTAGCAATGATTGATATGTTGATATGTGCATCATTCAGGTATTCTATGTGGTATTCTCTTCACCCCCGTCATCGCAGCGATAGTTGCAGCATTATAACAATGGTGCTTTTTTAGAACTCATGCGATCTCATTGGAAGCTTTGTACAACTGCATTCGTTACATAGAACAATCTTTTCAACTCATAGTGAGACTCCACAAAAGTCTGACCAGAAATGTTCAATGAAGTAGCTCTTCAATGAAAAATGATTACAAAAACATTGTAATCGTCATACAGCTTAGTGGTAGCGTTAACAATTTTTTGATAAATCTCGATATCCTTTACATAAATATAAGTGCTATTGTATCCAATGCAAAACATCAATAAAGTAGAAGGACCCGTAAGCAAAGAATTATTACTTGCTGATAGATTCTGCAAGGCAGAAGAGCTTTAGGTTTCGTAGCTATCTGTCAGCTGTGACAGAGCACATTTCCTGCATTCCGTGCGCTATTCAGCTTTTCTACCGAGCTTATGAGCTGTGTACCTTACACTTATATGGAATTGATTTTGACAGGTTTCTTATATGACCGTGAAGAAAAGTCAACAATGATCTTTCTAGCTAAAGGCTGAAGCATGGCGAAGGCGCAGAAGCAATATTAATTGAGTAGGCGCCAACACTGTGCGCGCGTATCTTCACCGTAGTAAATCCTGCGCCTCATGCGCTCTCCGGCCAATGAAGGCTCGTTCGCGCTTAAAGATATTGCGCCTTCGTCATGCAGCAGCCTATACTTACGAGATCATTACAGTGGCGCGAGCATAAAGGCTATATAATCACGAACTCTTCAACATTTCAAAGAAACAACGCAAATTTTTTTCAAAAGATTGTTATTACTCTCATTAGTGCTTCGAAAACATCTTTTTTGTCCAACAAGTTCATTGTAATTAGAATTGTATAAACGGGAGATATTCAAATATGTAGAGTTTATAAAAACGCACAAATTTCTCATTTTTCATAGATCTTGAGATAGAAACAAGCTCTATGCCTGTATGTTGCTGAAAGAGCGCTGTTGGAAAAAACGAAATTGTATTATGAACCATATAGTGTAGAGTTATGAACAATGAAAGTGTGTCTGTTGTCAGTACGCATAGAATATATGGTATGCAAACATCATGCAACATATGAAGTTTTACTTGTCTCCATTCGCGACTTTCGAGCGCGGCATATCGTTACGCATACATAAGAAAAAAATAACGATATAAATGAAAACTACCGCATATACGATGCCGGAGCTTGAATCCCTGAACAACGACAGCATGCTTCAAGTCTTCACGAAAATTTATCGACCACAAAACATGCTACCAGCTAGTTCGTCTTCCTCCACCTTCTCGTTTTCTATGTTTCTCTCGTAGCAAGACAAAAGCGGATGAGAAGCTGAGATTGAGTGCTATCGCTTAGTGATCGATATAAGATATTTCTAATTTCGGTACCATCCATATCGAAACCATAATGTTGTTGGGGACCTCTCCTACGACTATTTTTCCTGTTAGTCCTTTCCAGTAGACATTTAGTGTAATCTCTAGGCGTTTCTTCGCTATTGCTGTCCCATCAAGAGATATCGATTGGATATTTTGAATAGCGATCTGAAATGTTGCTTTTGTTAGCAATGGCAACGTCTCGGCAAGGTGGGGGAGGAGGGGGATGGGGAATTTAAAAGAGTTGCAGTAGCAGGCTCCCAACTAAAACAAATAAAGTCCGGAGCTAAAAGCGCGCCTACGTAGCCTCGAATTGCCGACAAATGCAAGGACTTCAAACTCGTCCCGGATACAGCTCATCTTACGATTTTGAACTCCTGTTAGGGCTCGCAATTCTCACAAAGTTTTCGCCATAGGGTCCCACCCACTTTGGGTCTCTCTCACTTCCCGTAAGTGAGCCTGCTTCGCAAGTCTAGTAAGGGCAGTTTTTTGCAATTTGGTGCTCTTCGACCTACACTTTCTTAATCAGCGGGAACTAACAACTCCAAGTAAGCGGAAAATGTTTAGGTCGAGGTTGCCAGCTGTCTGAGTTTAGGGGAGTTTTGCCTGCCTTTAACTTTCAGCCACAGTGCAACCACAAACTTGATAATGGAGGTGATCGCGTGCGTCGCGCAAGCAGATCCGCTGCGCATCTTACAAGGGAACGATACTTGGTGTCCGTGGCCTTTTGAGATGAAACGTACACCATCAGACTCGTTTTAATACGCTGATTCCAAATCTGACTTCCTTTTCTGCTAATCTTTTCTCTGAAAGAAGTTATGAGGATTTTCGCATCAATGGCCGCCTAAGAGAAATGCGGCCGAGGATGCCTAATTTCCAAAAAGAAGCTTGATTGAGGCAATACAAAACTGAAAAATACAAATGGACTCGAAGCTAAGCCTACATTACTTGCGAGGCTATCGCACTAGCCACTACGCCACATCTTAGCGGCGGTTTTGGCATTCCAAACACGTCTCTTTTGACGCAAAAATCCTTCATAACTTCTTTTAGAGGAACGATTAGCAGAAACGGAAGTCAGATTTGGAATCAGCGCTCCAAGATGAGTTAACGGTATACATCTCATCTCAAAGGGCCACGGACACCAAGTGTCGTTTCCTTGTTAGCTTAGTCTTTACTCGAAGCTCTCGAAGAGTCAATATTAGATTTCACAATTTGTGACCACGTTTACCTAGATAGCTGAACGTTGAAGGTAGGAGAAAAAAGTGTACTGTTTCAAAATTGACAGCAGTTGAGCTCACTTGCTGGGATAAGCTTAACTCCTTCCGCTCACGTCAATTGTGAATTATTAGGGGCTAGCCCTATGTGATTGGTTGGCGATGAAGGGAGGCCTACGCGATGTTGATAGCTCTAACGGCGAAATGTTTGATTCTGCTGCACCGCCATCACACCACTCGCCACCGTTAGTAATTTTGAACGTTCATTTATATAAAGTCAAATTCTTATAATAGACGCTGGTAATCGAAAAACGATGAAAGATGCAGTAAGATGCCTTGAAAAAAGTATTGGTCTTCTTCGAGGGTCGGAAATGTAAAGCAAAGTTTGACGCTCATCGGTGGAAAGATTTTTGCAAGTGCATAGTACGTATGAAAATTGTAAGGGACTATCTAAGATGGTGATAATTTGACCAAATTTAACTTGTGATGTGATTTGATAATTTCTCCCACACCTAGCGAAAAATTTGAAATCTGGCAGCTCAGCACAGGAGGCTTTCACTCTAATCCAAAGTCAAGAGTAACAGTAGATCAAATTGTTACATTACCACATCACAGTTGAACTCATAGCGTTTTAGAAATGTTTTCTTATATTTTTTCAAAAAAGGGGAGGGAAGAGTTGGAGAGCTACCGACCGATCAGCTTGCTAAATCTGCTTTACAAGTTGTGCCTGAAAGTCGTGTCTCTTATTTCAAGAAGTTGAATGAAGTAAAAACATTTAAACAAAAAGGACTCCGTGAAGGATTCAGCTGCGTTCATCATATAAAATCGTCTCGAGGCTCTAGTTTTTATCGGGAATATTTGCTGCCTCTACTTTTCATGTTTTTCGATCACGAAAAGGCTCTCGATATTGTGAAAGTTAATGCCGTTTAACTGCTTTGATCGACCACGGAGTAGACCCAACTTACATGGGGATGAATGTAAAACAAAAGTAAATCTGCTCGAATACCCGCTCCATTCCCACATCTAAAAAAAGAGTGCGGCAAGGCGACACTTTGTCACCTAAGGGTGCCTTCATACCGCGCCGGCAGCCGCCGCTAGCAGCCCGTAGCGGCCGCCAGCAGCCCGTAGCAGCCGCCAGCAGCCCGTAGCAGCCGCCAGCAGCCCGTAGCCGCCGCTGGCCGCTTTCGTTATAGAGGCGCAGAATCATCAGAAAACTAATTTGAGTGCTCCTGCCTTTTCTTTTGTTGCCGCCAGCGGGTAGTTCATCTCACAAATCATATTTATGTCCATTTCATTACAATGTCGCTTCATGGTTATTTTCTTTCCGGTGTGATTCCCTCTGACTTTAGATGCGTCCAGTTCCTGCAGGTGTGCAATTTGTTTACTTTTTGATTTTGCTTCAATCTTCTTCTTGGCTATCGGTGCATTCTGAAGTGCATTCTACTATTTCGCAAGTTCGCCGAATTGATTCGCGGCTGGGTTCTTCCAACTTTGACAATGGCTCACATTCGTTTAGACAAGACAGATAGCAAAAGTGAAATTTGAGCACCGACAGGATGCAATGTGCGGCAGCAGAACAGTGATCACAAATGTAATATGTAATATCGAACTACACACTAGCGGCAACAGAAGAAAAAGCGTGGAAGATGAAAATCGTAGGCAGGAGCTATCAAAGTAGAGATTCTTATAATTCTGATGGTTTTGCGTCTCTATACCAAAAGCGGCCAGCGGCGGCTACGGGCTGCTACGGGCTGCTAGCGGCGGCTGCCGGCGCGGTATGAAGGCACCCTAAGCTGTTTACCGCGGTGCTGCAATGATGTATGCATCTCTCGATTGGGTACGAAGGGGTTTACGCGTGGATGAACGGCACCTTTCCAATCTTCGTTTCGCAGATGATATAGTTTAGTTTTCGAAGTCCATTAGCGAAGTCATCGGATGTTGAATAAGACGAACGAAAGCGGAAGAGGAATGAAAAGAGTAGGACACAAGATTAGAAAAAGACACAGTTTGTATATTGCTGTGAAGGTCAATTATTCTTGGATGGATCACCACTAGAGGAGATCACATTTTGTTTGCCTAGGACGCACCATCAACATGAACGAAGATATGAAGGACGAGCTAGCAGAAGACAGAGAGCAGCATGGGCAGCATTCTGACTTCTGAGAGAGGCCACGGACAATTCCTCAGCAATGAGATGGTGTGACGAATTTGTTGCCCGTGTAAACCAGCTGCGTTAGCTGTTGGAGTCTAATTCAGGATCATCCAGCGATCGCGACAGCGCATCAAGACGATTAGAGGTGACGATTGCACGAGACCGAAATGATTGATCAAATGTCCGAGCCCGCACGGCGAAGGACGGGCAATCTATAATCTAGGTAAATATAATAAGTTGTCTTTAGTTTTTGATCAGAACAAAAGGTGGACGTTCTTTTATTAGTACAAGGAACAGTTCCTAGGGTGGTCATTACATACTCCAAAGATAGATAGTAGAAGTGTAGGAAATTTTAGGATAATGTAGCTACATTATGCTCTATCTTGAAGGCAGCAATGATACACTTTACCTTCAAATCGTTCCCTTTAGCACAATTCTTTTCGTTACAAACACACATGATTGGTGTGTCCTTCGCAAATCCTGCCTCATATTTGTAACATGCCAAATCTTTCTGGGAAAATGTTTTACAAAGTTTGTTGCATTGAAGACTGAATGATTTACTGATATCTCCATTTCTACGAGTGGGTAATAATCGCCCCACACCGGCATTTCATAGACTTCGCTGGCATTACATAAGTTCAGCAGAGGAACTAACTTGGCACACAGTAATTTCCCCGTTAACAAACTCTGAAGCAGCTACTGTTTTTGGTTCAGAGAGCTAAGTCAAGTAAAGACTTACAGTATTTTCAAAAGTGCATTGAGAAAAGACGAAGTTTACAGAGTTTGAAAACAAGAGAAGAAGTAGCAATCTAAAAGCGATTTCGCATTAGTTCAAGAATAACGAATTCGCTGAGAGAAAGATAAGCTAGCGTTCAACATTTATGCAAGAATGTTCGTTGTTATTGAGTGTAGAGGAAGGAGCAAAAGAGCGAGCAGCACAACTCCAATGCTGACTGACCTTACCATGCGTTTTGCAAACGTTAGATAAGAAAATGAAACTCTCTACACCTATCAACTTCAGCGAATTCAGTAAAAGAGTGTTGAAACCTTGACAAACATGTCGAATACAATTCTGACTCAAAAGGAGAATGGAAAGAGGATTTTATTAGCAGTTGGTATTGAAAGAACAGATATTCCAGATTCTTACGGTTTCTTGTGAATTTCAATAGTTTCTTTAGTCATAAAGAAGAAACCAAATATTTGCAATTTTACCAAATGATATTGATTCAGGGCAAGTTCAACAGAACAGTAGCGAAGATGGAAAGTATGATGTTTTGTTCAATACTCAATAGAACAAGTAATTTGTACATCAAGAAAAGAGAGGCGCTTTTTCACTCTGTTCCTACTGACTTCCAGCCAGGCTCGGCATAATTTGGCATCAAGAACTTTTGTGTCTCCCGACTTCGCAAATACTTACAAGGAAACGATACTCGGTGTCCGCGGCCTTTTGAGATGAGTTGTATACCATTACACTCGTCTTGGAACGCTGATTCCGAATCTGACTTCCGTTTCTGCTAATCGCTTGAAAGATATTATAGAGGATTGTGCGGGCTTTGGATTCCCGCTGAAATACGTTCAGAGCTGCCAGAAGTAGCAGTGCGGTTTGGTCTAGTGGTTAGTACGATAGGCTCGTGAGTTGATGCAGGTGTAGGTTCGACTCTTTTCATGTTTTTCAGTTTTGCATTGCCTCAATAAACATTCTTTCGCATCTTCCAGCTAACTGACCGCCCTTACTCTTCAAAAAATTTAGAACTTTGGAAAAAATGATTGCTATTTGCGCTAAAATGTATCCACTGATCATACTTCGAGTAAGTTTCAAAAAAGTTTAATTGAGGCAGTGCAAAATAAAAACACAAAATAAAAGATTTGAACCTACATCTGCTTCAAGTTATGAGGTCAGACTAACCATTAGACAATAACGTGGCGCCGGTAGAGGCGGTTCCGGTGACCATACCCTTGGGCGGCCAAAGTTGGCTCGAAATACCTCCATAACTTCTTTCAGAGAAACGATTAGCAGAAACGGAAGTCAGATTCGGAATCAGCGCTTGAAGACGAGTGTAATGGTATACATATCGTCTCAAAAGGCCACGGACATTGAGTATCGTTCCCTTGTTAGGACCGTGCTGTGAAGTTCTCATGAAGAAAAATTAGGAGGGAGGTGGAAGGAAAGGAGGGAATCCACGGTCTTTCATACATATACGATGTCAGAATTTGGATTTTCGGAATTCAAGAAGAGACGGAGTTCTTCGTAAGCACCTCCATAAGTTACATCTGATTGAGTTGATTCTAAGTAACACTATTTTGCCCCAAAATGCTCTCTCAAAAACAAAATCATGTCTCTTTTCGTCGTTGCTTCACGGGTATACCCTTTCAGCGGGAATATTTATTGGAAATGAAAATATTTTTTGAAATAGCGAAAAAAATGCAGAACATGGCTTTTATGAGTAACGGTCACCGCTTTTTTCATGAAGTCTACTGGGCATACTTCTGACAGAGTTTTACGTAGCATTGGGTTGTTTCTTGTGCTATAACAGTTGATGCAACTTTCCCAGAGCCTCGTACTGATTGCACAGTAACACTTTAGCCGTATTCTCCAAAGATTTTCTATAAGATTTAGGTCAAGAAAGTGGTCCATAAAATCCATCGTTTCGCAAAGTGGAAAAGGGCGATGGGAAATGCGCCTATGTGTAAATGCACGTTCCTTAACTCGCAAGTTGTCTGTTTCAGTCGTGTACGCTAAATCTTAGCCCCCGCACTGCTGTTCTTTCTATAATTGAAAATTTGAGAGGTGCAAAATGTTTCTGCAAGCGGAAAAAAATCTCCGCTAAATCTTCTCGTCTGTTGAAACGGAGTTTAGTGCAGCAGTAAGTCTTCTGATTATTACGACGCGCTTTTGTCTACTCCACTAAAAATGTTGGCCCATTCTTCCCCTGTGTGGCTTGGTCAGCAATCCAATGGCTCCACACGATTATCGATTGTCACTTCATCTGCTAAGAAGAACCTTTGAATGAATCCAATAACGCTTGCAAAACAATATCCGGTGCCTTGAGTATCTTATAACTGTGGTAAGTTCTGAATCTTTTTGTATTGTTACAATATCGGAGAAAACAAAATTTTTTTCAAAGAACTGTTTCAACCAACAACTTTTAAGATTATCAATGGTTTACGGTAGCTGGAGATCTTCACAATGATATCAGTAAGCAATAGCCAGCTGATAGGTTCTGTCATGTTTTCAGATGTATATTATGCTTTAGAAATAATACTATGACGTTTCTGTCTAGTTTCTATCAGTAACAGTCCGAAAAGTTCCTCTCCGGAAAGCGGCCACGCTTTTCAAAATTTTCTGGGTGCTTCCATTGCGGCTTATAAATGCGAAATTCAGGAAAAGATGACGCAGCACCAACCAGCTCGGAAAATTTTTTTTTTGCAATGCTCACTGTAGGCTACTAATAAAATTTTGCAACGAGGTTTTGGGGGAGAGTGGGGAAGGGGGGTTCTATATTTGTTAAGCCAACTTTAGACACAGGCAAAGAAGATATGGTAGCCCCAGGACTGGGTGAGTATTCTGCCCTCTCGGTTATTGCATTTTATCTCACGTACAAGCTGTACTCTTTCGTCACCGCACTTGGCCTATTCATCATTGTTGCAGCGTTAGCCGTCAGGTGGGTAGAAAGTCCGATATAGATATGGTAGGTATCAAAAGTACAATATAAACTACATTATATACGACAATTTTATGATATGGAAAGTATAGAGCGACGTTCTTATTATATACAAAACATGAAGAAATTTGAGTGGCCTTCGCTTATTGCTTCTACTGTTTTTGCCCATTGCCCAATTCCCGCAAAACTTTCGCAAAAATTCGGAACTGCTGAGCAAGGAAGTATCTTTCCGCACCCCCAAGCAGCAAGCGCCTAACGAATTGCTTTTTCGAAGGCAGCTAAGAGAGAATACACAACTCATTTTCAGGGCAGAAATTGGATAAATTTTGTTGAAGGCAGCTTATCTACCTTGTGACATTCAGAAAAGGCGGATATTTCGGGAACATGAAGTTATGAACTTTTCGGAAATTTCAGTCTTAAAAATGAGACTTGTCCCTTTGCATCAGTTTTCTTCCCTAATTCACTTCCTCTATTCTACTTTCGACTCTTTTCTGCTAGCGCTAGTAGGAAAAAGTGTTTTTGGTTTATCTATTAGGGAACTTACGTACCTGCTAAGCCCATATTGTTACTATAATAGTGACTAGTATGTTTATGCTGTGCAGAAGAGCCATCCCTACTGAAGAACGACTTCTTTGAATCACACAGAACAAAAAGAAATTCTTTCCTTGAAATTATCGGTATATCTGCATCTCATATTCTTGTATTTACAGTTTTCAGTTATCTTGTCTTCGAAAAGACTTACTGGAAAAGACAGGGAGTTCCGGGTCCAAGCCCTAACATTCTGAATGGAAATGCATTCGAATACGAGAAGAGACTTCATGTGCTGGATGAAAGATTTATTGCCGCCTATGGCAAGACATACGGGTGATAGATAATTGCCTGCACTTTTCTCGTATTAGCCCTAGTTTTGCAGCATGTTTCTTGTATCAGCTTCGGAGCTGGTATCCATGGATATAGATATCTTGCGTGGAGTGCTTGTCAAGGAATTTGACCACTTTACGGATAGAACGGTCAGAGTTATTCGCTTGCTTAAGGAAAGGTTCAATTTATGCTCCATTCAGAACCTGCTGAATGTTGATCCCTCTGATAAAAAATCTCTTTTGGCCACTTCGTTGGTGTCGCTAAAAGGAATGCATTGGTCTAGCGTTCGCAGCCAGGTGGCCCCTGCTTTTTCTACAGCAAAAATCAAAATGGTTGGACTTCTGCTGGAGCTGAAAGAAAATCAGAACAGTCGTTCAGATGATACACCAATCTTCAACGAATGCGCAAGAATTTGCGCAAGTATTCTCGATAAACACGAAGTTGAAGGAATGCCGGTGCCAATTCGAGAGTGAGTTTTTGCTCGTACCTCAAACTTACAAACTCTCTCAAAACTTCTAACTTGAGTGTAATAACTCGCCTTACCCTGGATATGACTTCAAAATGCGCATTTGGTTAAGATTTTGATGTGCAAAGCAACCCGTTGTCACTCTTTCTTCATTTTGCAAAGAAATTTTCTGAATTCGATCTAAGGGCGCCGGAAGTAGCATTTGTTAGTGAGTTCTCAGGTTTTATGCACTTTTGAAGACCTTGGCTCCATAGGACGGGGGATTAATTTTGAAGTCTTTTCTTTCTTCTTTCAACCTTTTTTTTTACCTACTTCAAATCATGTAGACCTCTACTGTACGCCAGATTAGATTTTGCAAAATCGAGTGACAAGTTTTATGCAAAGAATCTTGAATTAACGTTTTTCTTTAAATTGATGTCGTCATTGGGTTTTTTGTTCCTTTTTCAGTTCTGTTCCCAGATATCGCAACTGCTTTCCAAAAAATCACTGGCATCTCCATCCTCAAAATGATGCTAACAAGTTCTTCCTGAATGCGCTCGAAAAACTGTTTGAAGAAAGAAAAAAGGGGACTAATCTGGTGAGTTCATACATATCCATTATTGCGGAGAGTACCAACAGACACATGATGAAGGGCGGACGCACTCATTCATTGAATAAATTCATTACCGATTGGCAGGGAGACTACAAAAATAGACAAATAAGATTTGAGCGAATAGGCTGAGGCTAATTTTGCTTAATAAGGGAAGCATCTTTACGCGAAGTGGTCTTTCTAGATGGGATGTGTACAATATTGGAGTGCTAAGCTGATTCCAAATTTGCCTTCCTGATTTGCTGAACGCTTATGGACGAGGAGTTATGAGCGTTTATAGGAGCAAAAAATCAAATGTGCAAGTAGACGAAAATAGCCGTTATGACTTTCCAAGCGCTTCCATCGATAATGATAATTTACAGGACCCTTTATCCAATAAATGCTCTAAGATAAAGTAATAATAGTAGAAAATCTACCACTCTTGATTGCTTTATCTGAGGGCTAGTGAGACTTTAACAACTCATTTTATTCTAAGTGCACTCTTAATTTTTTGCTCCAAAACGCTCATAACTTCTCGACAAATGTTCCGCATTTTAGGAAAGCAAACTGGGAATCAGCGTTTTATGCTCTTCAGTATCGTATACATTCCATCTGAAAAGGCCTCTCCGACTAAGCATGCTTACCTCATAAGTTACAAATTGAGATAAATGAGCCCATGCAATCCTATAATGAGTTCTGAGTATTTTAAGATTGCACGTCATAACGCAAATAGATTAGCTCTGCATCTAATTCGCGAATTTTTGAGTTTTTCAGAAATACAATGACTTTTTCGAAATTCTTCCCGAAAGCCTCGTTGAGAATGATAAGGAGAGAGCGAAAGACCATGAGATCGAGTTTGAGTTTTGTGATGTGCGTAAAGGACTCTCAAAAGGTGATATTCTTGGACAGGTGAGCTGCGTTTGAAGTGATCTTAAAGTTTCTACATTTTTTCTTTAGGCTTTTATGTTCATTCTGGCTGGTTCCGAAACCACACCGGCGGCGCTTCACATTACGTTGTATACGTTAGCGAAGTATCAAGAAATACAACAGCGTTGTAGAGAAGAAATTCGGAAAGTATGCGGTGAACAGGTACTTCGCAACGTACAGGGAACCCCAAAAAATGCGCCTACTGTTTGATTGTTAATCTCTCTTGTCAAGAAGTCTTTCGAGGAGCTTCGAGCTCCGTTTTGTAAAGCTGGTTTCAACTTAGTTTTTCAGTATGGAGCGAATTAAGAATCTACCTTCATCACTATAGGAGCACGGCAGTGGCGGTCCCAGGATTTCGGACCGGGGGGGGCCGCAAAAATTTTTTTAAATGAAGGTCCGTGGCGTTAGCCATGCGCTCCGAAAAAATTGGGGGTGCTTCTCAAGATTTTTGCGGGTTCCTATCCCCTAAAATCTTGAAAAGGGGGGCATAGCTGACGCCGCGCCGCCCTTCCCCGCCTCCCCCCCCCCCCCTCGGTCCGCCACCGGAGCACGGTAGGAACTTGCAGCAAATGGCGCCGCTGCGAAAAAGGCCATTTGGAAAACGAATTCCAGGAAAATCTAAGAAGTTGGTAGCAAGGTTTTCATGCATGCTGGTTTTGGTACACCTATCATTGCGCTTTCGTAGAGCTTTTCGAATGTCCTAATCAGATTTTTGACGAATAGCAGCGATTGGTTGTTGTGATATATCCGGCATAAGTTAGAAAAAATACCTTACGATAAGTGCGAGTTTTACGTTCGAAATCAGCGACTGTGGTTAACCTAGTGTGAGATTATCAGCTTCTTTTTCAGCTTCGAGTTTGTTTCTATTTTAGGTGAAACATGCCCCTTATTTACTCAAAACACCCTCCTCAAAGTTCCTACCGTAATTCCATAATAATGAAGAGGGATTGTTGATTCGCACCATGTTAATATAAGTTGAAGCCAGCACTACAAAATGGTACCTAAAACTTCTCGAAAGTGTTGCAAGAGGGTTTTTGCAATCAAACAGTACTCACATCTTTTTGGAACACTTTGTAGATGTCACAAATCTGACCATACATGCACAATTTTTATTAGTACGAAGCGATTACGATGGCCGAAACGGCTTCATCTAGATGAATGTCACCTACGGAATGATCAGTGAGTTGAAGTTTCTGGACCAGTGCATCACCGAAATGCTTCGCATCTATCCACCAGTTGTCAGGTAGATAAATAATAGATGCATTGATTTTTCTCGGTTTAACACACCCTTTTTCAGAACGAATCGTCTCTGCACTAAAGATATCACCCTCAAAGGCATAAGAATGAGAAAAGGATGTATATTTACGTTACCAATAAGGGCCATTCACTACTGTGCTGACTACTATTCCTCGCCGATGGAGTTCGATCCCGAAAGGTTTGAAACAATGGTGACTTCGAAGGTGTCTTAGAGATCCTATGAGGACTACAGTAAAGATGGACAATGGAAAATCGCTCACTGCGGGATCCACTCACTTTTGTATCATTCGGTTATGGACCTCGAAATTGTGTTGGAATGCGGGTAGCACAAATGCAGATGAAAGTGGCTATGGCACACATTCTTCGTGAATACGAGCTTCGACCAGGAGAAGACTTGGTGAGGCCTTCTTGTGCTGAACCATTGAATTTCTAACCAGTGCCAGAGCTTTCAGGAACTACCTATTCGCATCAACACTATAGGTGGCATGAGGACTGCTGAGAAACTAAGTATTGTTCTTAAAAGAGTTTAAAATTGATATTAGGTCGTTCCGAAAGTAATGTCGTTTTTTTTCAAATGAACGCCACATTTTATGCAATCAAGATTTTCAATAGATCTTAGGAGCATTCGATACAGCATTTCATTATCTTTCTAACGGTTGTAATTTCATTGCATTCGACTATTTTTCTAAATTTTTGTACCTATTCTTCGAAGAAGTGCAAGTAGCAGGTAGATAGAGCGAACCCTATAGGACACAGTTAATTTTTTTCTTTTCCTTAGCTTGCTTCTTGTACTTTCTGTAACCAATTTTTCAATTCAAGCCATCAAATTCCATATTTGGTCAACTCAAACCTCACAGAACAACGATCGGCAAGCAGCTCGGGTGTCATTTGAGACGCAGCTTTTTCTCCTCTTTCTGCCAGCTGTTTTTTGTTTCTGACTCATCAAGTTTCCCGGGCAGGGCCCGGCGGGGGTGGCGCTTTCACAAGCTGGATATCGTTTTTGGCCCGAAAAAGCGAAGGAGAAGCCGTATTTTGGGGTCAGGGGCTCCGCCCCGGACCCCAAAATACGATCCCCTTTGTTTACCGATAAACAATGCACATATCATTCTTCATTCATCATTCCTTGTTGATGCTACTGTCCTATGAACTTAGATTCCAGCAATGTGAAGATTCTGTGCTCCGATTGCTAGCCTGCCGGCAGGCGGGAATTCAAATCGCAATTCTTGTAAGAGGAAAATAACAAAATAGGCTCGTTTTCAATGCACAAGTAACGATATGACACCAAGTATGCTGTATAGTTGGAGGACCATGAGCACAAAAAAAGTATGAAAAATTATGAAAAACTTATGTGAATTAAAAAAATGGTAAGTGTTTTTCGACACCTGGGGTGGCTCCCTGCTTCCCTTCACATAATTTCCCGGATTTCTTTACATAAATGTGGCCTAGGTCGAGAGTATTACTACATGTTCAAATCCGCTTCAAAACCACCAAGGCACCGCTTAGATACAGGTCCAAATAGGGTTCACAGCGTTATGACCGGCCTCGGAAAGCGCGGTCCAATAGAAATCGGTGCACTTTGCACGGACGACGCGGAAACTCGAGAATTTGACTTCTTGCTAGGCTAATGATCGCTAAATGAAGCAGTTTTCCCTAATTTCAAACCATTGTTTCTTCGATTCATGCTTGCATGTTCTCGCAATGTAGGAGCGGTCACATTTGGCTGTGATGTTTTGTGCAAAAAGTTGTTCCACAAGAGAATTTCTCCTGTTTCCGCAGTTCCGTCGGTTTTCCGGATTTTTGTGTTCTGTTCCGTCGCGTGTTCGTTTTCTTCCTTGTTTTCTTCTTGTTCCTCTATGCTCGTTGTTGCAGCTACGTCGATGTCATCGGAAGTGTGTAGAAAGTTTTTGACAAGATCGGATGGAGTCAAATCGGTGGATCTCCATCCCACTGAACCGTGGTCATCTGCTGCTCTCTATACTGGAGACGTTCAGATATGGAATTTTCAAAGCCAAGAACTTGTGAAGTCTTTGAAAATAGGTTCCTTTCTTCATTTTCATTTTTAAGTGTTTTTGTATGTTATAGGCCGTCCGCGCTGCGCACGGAGAGCAACGCTGTTGCGTACAATGAAGGTAGTTCACGACTGGAAGAAGCGCAGAGAAAAACAGGCGGCGAGAGTGCACGAGGAAAGAGCAGTGACGCGCAATAAACACCTTGCGCACTCTCCGCGACCTGCGCGGACGGCCTATAGACCCCGGCCAGACTTCGCTCAGAATTGCTCACTCATGAAGAAGTTCCTATTTGGCAGATAGTTAGTTGAGCATTGAATGGTATTTTTGAGATGTGTTGGAAAGCGGGGTTTGTCGGTTTTGAGCGGTTTTGGAAGATTTGATCGAAGTCTGGCTGGGGCCTTATGGTGCTCACTTTATTTAAGCCCAGTGTCTGAATGGGGTCATAAACTTGCGCAATTTTTAGGTTTGCGATTCGCCAGTGCGTGCCGTCAAGTTTTTTCCAAATAAAACTTGGATTGTGACCGGGTCAGATGACATGCACGTCAAAATCTACGACTACACCACATCGCTCCTAGTTCACCAGTTTCGGGCTCACTCAGACTACCTCAGGGGGGTGAACTTGATTTATGCCAGTATGGTTCGTTTTTTGCATTTTTGAATTTCTGGTTTTTTATGTTTTCTTTCTTTTTTGCCTCTACTGGGTTGTTACTAAAGAGGGGGCGGTGAGATTGCGGCCTTTGCTCACCATTGAGGTTTCTCGGTTTTATTTTTCGAGTGAGACGCGTTTCTCTCCAACGAGATACTATTCATCTGAAACAATTTTGTGAAGTGTTGTTCTACTTTAGGCTTTGTTTGGGCAAAAGCCGCACAATACGAGGGAAGTTCGCGACAAGTTCAGCCCTAAATCAACACGTTTCGGACCGCGAAATCGCGCGCGGCGAAAAAGAGTGTATTTTAAGCCGTTAGCCAATAAAGGGGCCTTATTTTTAGACTGTGTGCTACATCTGTAATCAGCATGTCAGACAAGCTCCATACCCAAAGTTCTGGGTGAATTCAAATTGTTTGAATTGTGTCGTTTGAGAGAGACTTTCGTGCTTTCTTGAAAGATAGGAACAAGAACTCCGTCTCTAATAGTATTCAAAAGTTTCTATGTTCCACACGGTACACATCAATATTGAGACGATGGTTTTTCTGCTTGAAATCGAAGCAAGGAAAAGTTGCTATCTCCTAAACAAATATCGGCGGCACAGCTCTATAGAGTCATTTGGAAAGTAGGAACTTAGACTTTTGACTTGATAACTTTGGACTAAAAGAAAAGCTCTTGTGAACGTCGAAAAGATCCTTCGAAGTCGCGTGCTGCACCATGTGCAGCACCGGTCCGAAACGTGTTAACGCTCTTTCTCGCTCATTGGTTCCCCACTCCACTGTTTTTGTGTTTTATATGTTCCATGTTTCTGTCATCATCCTAATGCGTTTTTCAGTGTTCAGTGTTTGTTCGTAGAAAATCGAAGAATAAGGTTTTGCTTTATATGTGTGTCTTCTCTATACTTTTTCGTGCATCTGCATAGTTGTTGCAGTGCAAAAATCATCACCTTACAAGTGCAGTTGTTTTAAGTGGCTAATGATATGTCATATCTCGCTCATTTCACCCCCGTCTTGATGAGGGTAATTTTCCGGATGGAATTTTTCATCTCTCCTCTAAATCTTGCTTCTTAGGCCCCCCCCCGCCATACTTCATCCTCTTGATGCGCTATTTATTTATGCGCTCCTATTTATTTGTGTATATTGTCTGTCACGGAATTAGGGGGGAGGTCAAAAATAGGGTCAAAGGGGAAGTCGTAAGAAAATTGGCTTTAAAGGGGATATCGTTTTCAAATTTCTGAAATGCCACCTCCTGCCGGGCCCTGTTCCCGGGATAAAACCATCGTAATTCAGGTTTGCCAGGCGCCCCAGGCTGTACCCGGAATTTTCGAAAATTGCTAATCTGAAGCGATAAACGCTCATTTGCTTTGAAAAATTAGGGCCAAACCATAATCTATCTTTGTAAGTTTCAAAATCCGAAGTTTTTTGGTGTTTGGTGCGTTTGTGTCTGAGACAAGCCTGCTAAAATTCGGTGGTTCTATCAAAAAATCTATACAAAAATTATGACGAGCTTTGGAAAGTAGAAAAAAGTTGTGCTCTTTCCTCTAGGGCTTGCTCTCCGAGGGTTGTTATAAAAACTTAGAAAAATTTTGAAACTTGGGCTTCCCAAAAAGCGTGGGTCGCAAATTTTGAAAATTTTTCAAGACTTTATTGGATTTTGTGCAGTGATTATGTAAACATTAGTAAGAGAATGAAGTTGTGCATCATATGCTACCAGAATCTCTTACATATCTTTTTTCCACAAGGTCTGGTGTACGTTTGAAAAAAAAGCGACATTACTTTCGGAACGACCTAATACATCCTGCCATCTATCCACCGTGACTTTGCGAAGCTGATATTTCCATGCGCTCGAGCACCCAAGTACGCAGATAATAAGTCAACTGATAAAGATGATGAGATTTGCAAACGTCTGTAATTTATATGTTTTGATTTTGTTGACTGAGCATTTTTTAAAGAAAAAAAAGGAACCCATAAAAGTTGTTCTGTGGAAGAAGGACAAGATACGGCAAAGATTTCGAAGGAAGCTTTGACCTTGGAAAAAATTAAGAAAACTACTGTTAACAAACTTACTCCTCGTAACAGCAAGATTGTGAAAAACAAAAATAGCAAGGTGGCTCTGAAAGCTAGCAAAAATAGCAAAGTGACTCTGAATAAGAAAGAATCTCGCGAGATTGCTGCAAGGAATAGACCGTCTCGTGAGATCAAGTCTTTACCAAAAACCCCATCAAAAGAACAACGGAAAGCTGACCACCCGGACATCTGCGTCGGCAACAGAAGAGGAAGAAGCGGCCGACGTCGCGCTTAAAAAAAAGGAACCCATAAAAGTTGTTCTGTGGAAGAAGGACGCGACAAAAAAATTTTTCCGATGAAGGTGCGTGGCGTGAGCCACGCACTCCGAAAAATTTTTTGGTATGCTCCCTAAAATTTTCGGGGGCTCAGAACCCCAAAATTTCAGAAAAAGGCTAATTTGAATTTTTAAAAAAAATTTTAAAAATTATTTTAATTATTTACAAGTACAAACAAGTCACTTGCACATTTTCATAACCCATATAAGTAACTTTCAAAAATTTCGCGAGGTTCGCACAAATTACACAATATAGGCATAATGTTGTCACAAAGGACTTCGTGGTGTGCATAACCTTTGATTCAACGAGATTAGCAGCTGGAAGGCGACCGCTCTCGTCTGCAACGCAGTCTGCGAATTTGTTATCTGACACGAAGCCCGCCTTCCAGTCGCCAATCCAGTTGAATCAAAGGATATCTTGTTTCAAATACAAGTTCGGATAGTATGCCCCTCGCTCGATGTTTTAGCTGGCTAAGTAACACGTAGTATGCAATATATGCAATGAACTCAAAAATAGCCTAAAGTACTGTTCGACAACTTTGTGTACTCCTCTATTTTGATCTTAGTCGATCACTTTTTTTCGCGCTTCTGCGCTATCGTCGCTGATCTTGTTTGTATGCTCTCTCTTTCATTTTCATATTTTCCCTGTTTTCGTGGCCCAGCGAAATACACAACAGACCAGCATCGTTGAGTCGGTCACATAAATGGCAGATTACAAGTGAACTTTGAGAACGTCAGAGTAGGTATCTCGAGAAGCAGCATGTCTCTAAAGACAGCCGTCAAAGAGGGTGGGTAGAAGTAGTTGGAAAGCGGGACAGCTGTGAAAACAGCTGGACACATCCCCTGCACCTTTAATGGAGATGCTACATTCATGCTACATGTAGCGTTCTACGAACGCTACATTTTTGACCAACAAGAAGATCGTGTCCACTGAAACGTTCTATAACGAAATTTCAAACAAACTTCTGCACATCTTTTTGTCAAGTTTGGTGCTATTATCTTTTTCCGCAGCAGCAATCTATTATTGAGTGCTATATCTCCAGTTATATACGTAGAATGTGGTCGTCTGAATGAAGCCGTGTGTTCGACGTTTACTTCTCAAATGAACCTACCAAGCATCGTACGACTTCCTCTTTCACACTTCGTTTTCGCGCTTTCTCTCAAAAATACTCATTTAAAGCGAACGGAAAGAGAAGCCCGAATGGCTGAGGATCAGGAGAGACCTGTTATTTGAAAAAATTGCAAGAACATTTTTTGAGTTTGGACTCATACCTTATATAGTAAGGTCTTCTCCCGCGACCGGAAGAAGAGCGGAAATAAGCAAATCGAATTCCCATAGAAAGTAAATCGCTGTTTGAGACCATTACACCAGTGAAAAGAACTTTCCTTTACAAGCGGAGAATAACGAGCGCTTGGCATTGTTTATGTGCGTGCAATAACAAAAAAAGTTTGAAGATTATGAAGTATGCAGATTTGATAAAATAAAACTCCACGCAAGCAAATCACTGATTTAATGCTGTTACATTGTTGAAAAAGTTGGAAAGATAGTTTAGAAATTAGGAATTTAGCAGTTTGGCATTTAAGATCTCAGAACTATGTAGTAAAAAGATGAATGAGGCGTGAAAATTCGAGCAAACAAATGCGTATCAGAGTGTCTGAAATAAGAAAGACACTCGATCTTTGTTATCACAAAATCACTTGCAAAGCTAACTGAATCTTCACCAACTTCCTTGAAGTCAGTGCGATTTTTTGCAGCGGTATGACTGCACTTGTAATCAACTGCTTATTTAGACGGTGTCGATGCTGTTACTTTTGGTCTTAACAAGCTGTTATTACTGATATCATCTGTCAAAAGTCGGTTCTGAATTTAGTAGATAGCCTCACATGCATTATAGCCTTATCTAATTGAAGTTGATCACTTTACAGTGAAGTTACTCATGTTTACTACTAGCTATAAGAGAAACTCTGTTTTCCATTCCTAGGAATCACCTCGTGCCGAGCTTCGATGCAACTCCGCCACAAGGGAGGCAAATGAATGCCTGAGAAAGGGCATTACCTCTGCTTCTTTGATAGTCTACAATTTCCTCCTTGATCGCCAAGTGCGCAGGTCCTCCAACCAAAGTGCTTTTCCTCCTCTAAGGCTAAGTTTGATTTTCGGGTTTTAGCAAAGAGAGAGGAAGTTTCAAAGCAAACTTTTCATAGTAACTATTAGGTATAAAAAGGTTTATGTAAGCTTTATGGAGAATTATGCCAAATGGAAGTGCCATCCTCGGGCTAACGATAGAGTGACAATTAACACCCCAGTTTGGAGAAAATTGGGGCACGCTCTTCCATTCGAGGAATTTTCATTTCAAGTAATTCTAACTTTGTTCTTATGAATCAGTGCGCATGTGCGTACCAAATTTGAAGTCATTTCGCTGTCTGTGCGCTGCAAACGAGTCATTTTTCCAATTTTTACTAATAAGAAATTTTCATTCAAAAAACTTACCACACCATCCAATCAAATAGATGTTAACAAGTTTTCGCGTTTCGCCCTTCCTAGCCCCTTTCCCTTTATTCACCGAATACAGTATCAAGAGCTTATGTGTGCGCTTTATTTATTAGCTGCCGATCAAGCGTGCATCTCTAGGTTGATGTGCGATTCCTATCCTTCGATGTTTGGACAAATCGGGGTGTTTGCAGTGGATTACTGCTAAAGAAATATAATATATTACGTGAGGTGCCATCAACTGATTTCACTCAACACAACCCTTTGTAACGAACTGAGTTTTTTTTCATTTGTTACACACGAACAATTTTAGAAGATACCCGCATTTTAGGTCTTCGTTATTCTGAATCAGGCTTATCATAAAGAGCTTAAAGGCAGCGTCCCATCAGGCTGAGGGTAACTGGCTCTGGTAATAATGCAATAGTAGACCTCCTAAGCGGCGACAGAAGTTTGCAGTGCGAAAGGGGCCTACGAGGTCCATAAATCGCCCCCAAGTGGCCCGTATCTTACGGTAGGCCTCGAGCGAGTGCGAGATGCATGCAAGGTAGAGACGCAAAGTTGATGCGGGACCCTGCGCTCATGACTGTGTGCGCTATACCATTCTGGCCTTACAAATCGATATTGCCATGTGGGCGGCGTCGGGCCTACCTTAAGATTCGGGCCACTTCCGGAACAAATTTCAGGCCGGAAGACCCCCACCTTCGCTCCGAACTTGTGTCACCGTTTAGGCAGGGGGTTTACTTTGACATCGCCACAAAAACCCGGCACCCATCTTTGTGCCGAGACGCTACCTTTAAGTGTGAGTTTTCGACTTTGATCTTGATAAAACGCTAAATTCAACGAATATATAGATGCAATACTTCTTGATAGCTTAACATAGATCTTTGTTTGTTAATGTTACTAACACTTTTTGGAAGATCATTTTGAAATCTATTTTAGATCTTTCTTCCTTTCTCTAGGAACTTTATGTTGCATTTCTTACGAGCAGCAATGAAAAATAATGGAAAAAGCCATTGATAGTGGGAAATTCGCAATGGTAAAATCTCGTGAGTTTCATGTTGTTAAGGACAGTGGCGCTCGGGAAAATCGCGACTGGGGGCTTTTCACAATGGCATAGCCTCCCGGACCAGCTGAGTCCGGTACCGCGCTTGAAATGTCAAAAAAAATGTTTTTTTGGAGTTTGCCGGCCTTGCAGATTGTTGGAGTGGCGAAGCAAGGGATTCCCGCCATAACCAGTGACTGCAGGATACTGTAACTTCACCTATTTTGGCGGCAATTGGCTGGTTAGCTCAGGCAATCAATACGAAAAAGTTGACGGTAATCCCTCGCCCCGCCTCTCCAGCAACATCCAAAGTCGAAAAACGCCAAAAAGCACTTTTTTGACTTTTCAAGCACAGTATCTGACTCACCTGGTCTAAAAGACTATAGTTTTGGAAATCCCCCACTAGCGAATTCCCTAGCCACTGCCTTTAACGGCAGTGTCGGCAGAGTCGCGCCCTGGAAGATATTGCTATGGTGGGGTACCTGGTCATCCCCTGACCTCCAGGCGCAGACAGGCTGGTTGTCCCCTCGGCTGAGAAAATAATCCTTGACCGGCGCTCGCTCGGGCGACTTCCCCTACCGTTCGGCGCGGGACTCCGCGAACGCTTTTTCTAGACAATTGTTTCACAACATTAAGGAGAAATGGTATAGGTCACTCATAAAATCATGATGGCGGCGGCCACATGCAATTTCGGGAATCGCATGTCCTTTGCCTTCCTTCCTTTTCAAGATTTTTTGCATTATATATTAGCTGCCAATACTTGAAGTGACTGAGCTGAGTGTTAAAATGTATGAATGTTATATGCATCTGTAACACTGGAGCAGACACAGCAGTCAATCCAGTTCTATGAATGCCCTTGAAAAGATAATGCCATCCATTAAGTTTGACAGAAACAAAGAAAAATGAAGTGAAAGAAGCTTCGTAATCTTCGTACCAGTATCTCTTTACAACGTCAATTCTCTCCTTTTTGCGTTGCGTGGCTATTGGCTCTAAACGCGAGGACGATCTAATTAGCCCACTTTTGGACCGTCAGTCTGGACCACTGCCTTAGACTACATTGATCATAATCCCTGTGTTAGATTTTCTTCTCAGCAAGCAGTAATTATGTACAGTTTGCAGATTTCAGATGCATCCACGGAACAAGGACTTTCTCGAGCACGTGCTTCCTGATTTTTTGAAAATGACCATTGATTTGTACGGGGAACACTCACTTTTTGTACAACTGGATTCCATAAAGATTCAAAAAGGAACAGTCGATGTTGCTATCGAAGAAATGGAAAAAGGACTCTATGACAGGTACGATGTGGTCATTTGCAATTTAACACGTGAGCCTGCACACTGTGGAGGCAACCCGACGCCATACAAGTAATTCGTCAGTAGAAGTTTCTAGTGTAACAAACTGTAGAATTGTGTACTACTACTACTCATCCAATCAAGCTAAAAGAAATAGGGGCAAAATTATTGATTTTGACAATAATTTGATAGATCAGAGAAGTCTTGAGGTAGTGCACTTCGCGGGCATTGCGCAAGTGAGTTAAAATGACTACATACAGTGCGTTATAGAACTGTATAACACCCCCCAAAATTTGGGATTTCCGGATTTATAGAAGAGATCGTGTACTCCGGTCAGTGCCTGTGTGATCTACATATAATATTCAATAAAAGAACATCTCAATCAATATGTCTACTCACTTGCTTTTCTACATCTAGAGACATGTTTGTCATTTTTCCACTGTTTCATAACTATACGACACCTTCGAGCAAGGTACTTTTTCCAAAGAAGAAAAAACGCAAACGGGGTTTTAATGAGTAATCGGGTCCATTGGGCCTTTTCATCACTTCATCAAGTCTGTTGGAAATGTTTTTGACAAATTCAGCGTGTCTTCGGTTCAATCTTGTCACATGCGTCTATAACGAACTGCTCCAACTTTTTCAATGCCTCGTACTGTTGAATTTGCTCAGAAACACTGTGCCAGTAGTTTTCAGAGATCTCCTGAAGGATTCAAGACAAGACAATATGGTCCCTTTTCAGAAGCTGCTCGCGATGGTGGCAGAGAACAGCGGTAAGTGACCCTCTTGCATGTTCACAAGATAAGAGAAGATGAAAGAAAGGATGAGCCAATTATTTGGTGGTGTAATCTAATCAAAAAGAAATTAGTTTGGACCGCTATGATGGCTAGAAGACCGACTGGCTGGATGTAAGCAAAGTCCACATCATTTGAGCAAGGGAAACTTTAGCGGAGGTTCCTCTATAAACTGAGAGCATTTTGCGTGGTTCAAAAGCATAAGTTTCGATGAGAAAGTTTGCGCGCAGATTGCCAAAAAGTACTAGAAAGTCCACGACTGTTCTCCTTCTACAAACGCCGATAACAGCACTACGTTTCGAAGCAGCACAAATAAAACATGCACGCAGGTTACTTACCGCCGTTCTTCACCATCATCGCAGGGAGCTTCTGTAAAGGTGTGACCATATTGTCTTGTCTTGAATCCTTCAGAAAATTTCTGTAGATTACTGACACAGCGTTCAGAGCAGATACAAACAGTGCGAGGCATTGAAAAGTTGAAGCAGTTCGTTATGGACGCGTGTGACAGCACTTAACCGAAGACATGCATGCATTTGTCAAAAGCTTTTCCAATAGACTTGATAAAGTGGTGAAAAAGCCCGACGGGTTTGACCTTGCTCAAAAGTGTCGTATAGTTATGAAACAGCGGAGAAATAGACATGTCTCTACATGTGGAAAAGCAAGTGAGTGACAGATTGAGATGTCATTTTATTCAATATTATATATAGATCAAATAGGCATTGAATGGAGTACTCGACCTCTTCTGTAAATCCGGAAATTCCAAGTTTTAGGAGGTGTCGCACGGTTATGAAATGCACTGTATGTGTCTTTAATATTTTTTTCTATCAAAATTAGCAAAGTTTTATCAAACTTACTTCGCTGTTGCATGCTATAAGAAAATTAACGGGGTTTAATTTGTAGTGTACCCTTTCGTCGTTCCATCATTTGGTTTTTAATTGATATAGTTGTTCGAGAAATTAACATAATTGATTGAGATATTAAGAGCTTAAGTGTGATGAGATTGAGAGTTCACTCTACGACCGATTTTGCATCTGACGCCAAGATGTAAGAATATGACATGAACCATTTCAGAGTGAGAACGTAAAAGTCAATTTAAGGATGAAGAGGGATGAAAATTCACGTTTTTCTATATAATTGCGTTATTTGACGCATAATTCTTGCATCAAAATTTTTGAAGATTTGCCACCTCCTCCAGCTTCAATGGAATGTTCTGACGTATTATGTGACAACGAGAAAATTTTGTGCTTTGTGCAAATGTTGGAGCCAAATTGTTGAGGGCATACAACCATATAAGATGACTAGAAAAAATACTCAAAAAGTGACTTTTCGATTTTTTGTCACTAAAATTGCTAAAAGTGCTTTTGCTAGAATTTAAATTCTATTTTGATCTTAATTCAATGACATACTTTTTATTGACTGGGAGAAGTTGTTAGTGATTGAATGGTCTGGAATAGTTATGAATTTCGATTCTATCAAATTGCCCTATTAATTTTTTTCATAATGATTATCTAAAACACACTACAGAATACTACCACTTTTTATTTATTAGGTTGGCGGATAATTTTTGTTGCAATTGTATTAAAGAGACAATGCGAAAATCGATTTTAAAACTATGGAAAAGAAAAAACACAATAAAATGCAAAGAAAAAATCAAAGAAATATGACAATTTTGAGTGTGCTTATAAAGTTGTCGTAAACTTGCTAGCTATTTGTGCATTTGCGGCATCAGTCATACTGTTGTGTACGCCCTGCCGTGGCCTCCTTCAGAATTTTACAAGAAAAGACAGAAATTATCCGCCATCCTAATATACAACAAAGAGCATATTTTATAAATTTAATAGTTTGTTTAAGCATTTTCAAAACATTTTTTCTGTTTTTTGGTGCAAGGACTGTGCATCAACCCAGTACCTGACCCCGCCACATTTGCACAATTTGTTTTATATTTCAGGAAGCAAACCTTATCAAGCTTTATGAATAACGCCACATTTTCGACTATGGCAGTGCAGTGTTCCTATACCGTAACGGAAAAATTCTCTGCGCCTTATTGTGATGACGACATCATCAAACCTGCGGCTCTGGAGAGAATATGCTCAATTTTAAAACTTTCGCAGGATGACGTAACTCTATTTGCTATTGGTGATAGTCGCAGAGTTTTGCGTGTTCTTCGTGCTGAGGAAACAATCACCACATACAACGAGATAACTCTTGTATTTATCGAACTACTATCACTTCTTACCGATTTGGAAAGACCCATCGCTTCCATCGAGCAAATTCTGTACCCTATCGAAATTTTTGGAAAATTCAGGATTGTAGTGGATAAAGATGAGGATGCAACGACTCTGAAGATGTACTCTCAATTTGGATCTCTTTGTGCGAAAATCAGTCGCGTTCGTGTCACAGATGAAAAAGAAGTTGTGGCAGAGCCCTTGAATGAGGTAACGGTTCAAAGCGACAGTCCAACAATCACCTGCATGGAGAAGATAGGTACTGATTGCTCGAATATCGACAAACACGAGACCTTCACATCGATGGGACTTGACTCGCTTAAAACTGCCGAGTTGGAAATGGCACTTCAAGCTGCGTATCCGGACTATCCGCTTCCTACAGCCGTGCTTCTGAACTATCCGACTGTTGACAAGATGGATGCTTATTTATATTCCTGTGCTGATAATCTGAAGTCGAATAAAGATGCTACTGCTTATTCGGGTTGCTTGCCTTTATCGCCACAGCAAAGGCGTTTCGTTTTTCTAGGCGAGTTAGAGCCCGAATCAAATGCTCAATTCAATGAACCGCTTATTTTTCGCATGGAGCTGAAACACTTTGATCGAAAGAATTTCGTTGCCGCTCTGAATGAAATTGTGATGAGACATACGACTCTGCGCACGACCTATAGGGCAGATTGTCAAATTATCTCCTCAGGTACTGAGAGTTACCTAGCATGCGGTGATACCAACAATCCAGAAGAGTTTGTCAACTTCCCTATCGATATAAAAACTAAGAGTTTACATTTTGCACTCTGTTACTCAGCTAATTATGTGACTGTCTGCATTGTGATTCATCATGTTGCCATAGATGGATATTCAATCGGCATAATTGCAAAAGAGATGGAGGCAATTTACTCCGGGGCGCGACTGCTCACACCAGTGAGCCAATATAGAGACTATGCAAAGAAAGTTTCGACCCTTAGTTTTGGAGAAGAGCTGTCGAAATGGAAAGAAAAGTTAAATGATAAGAATTTCGAGTTACTTCCAGTCGATAAGCCTCGTACAGCAAAACAAACGAATGTTGGAAAGTCATACACAAAAGAAGTACCACACTTTTTGCGCTGTGTCTTACAGAATCTGCGAAAAGAGACGAACTGCACCGATTTCTGCATTCTCGTCTCAATCTACAAATTTCTCATCTACAAGACTACAGGTATTGCAGACTTCCCCATTGGATTCCCATTATCGAAAAGGGACAAAGAATTTCACAAGACTGTTGGATGTTTCGTGGATACCGTACCTCTACTTGAAAGGGTGGATTCCTCGAATTCTATCAAAGAGTATTTCGAGAACTTCTCTGCTGCAATAGCAGAAGCAAAAGTCAACGATGTCCCGTTCGATGTATTAGTAAGCGAATTAAATCTTGAAAGAGACGACAACGTCAAACCGCTCTTTCAAGTCATGCTTGTAATGGATAAGGTACAGCTACCTACCGAAGAAAGCGGTATAAAATTTGTTGAGCTGCCAACTCGCTTCGCAAAATATGAACAAATTTGGTATTTTCGTAGTGATGCCGATTCACTGAGCATCAAGGTAGAATATAACTGTGAATTATTCTTTAAAGACACCATAACTGATCTGGTTGATAGATTTCTCTTCGTTTTGCAGCAGTTTGGAAGAGTATCACTGTCTCAGAGATTAAGTGAAATCTCGCTTATTAAGAAGAGCGAATTAGCGACGATTTATAGAATGAAAGCTGCCCATGTATGTGATATCCCCTCAGTTCCTGTCCCAGGAATGATGAAAAAAAATTTACTGACAAAAAGTACTTTACGATTTTCTGAACAGAGTATGAGCTATGCTGAGCTTGATGAACGTAGCAGTCAGTTCTCACGGCTAATTACCAACAAGTATTGCCGACATTATGGCGAAATACCATCAAGGGATAGATGTGGAGCGATCTTCATGGAAAGATCACTTGATTTGTTAGTGGCTGTGTTTGCTGTATGGAAATCTGGTCTACAAGTTGTCCCCTTCAGTCTCGACTGGCCTGTCCGTCGAGCCATGGAAACATTGGAGAAGTTCGGAACCCCAATTTTGATCACCATCGGCTTTGAAGATCTCGCAAGAGCAGCTGTGGTCAGTTTCTACCCGGTAGTGCAAAAACTCGGCTACCCAAAATCCCAAGTGATTGCAAGAAATTTGATCGATGTTTCGGATTTGGCCTACATCACATGCACTTCCGGTACAACTGGAACCCCAAAATTGGTGTGCACGGAATTTTCAGGGCATTGCAATCTTGTCATAGGTTATACCAAGACATTCCAGCTCAATCACTCATCTTGCATCTACCAGGTGGTCAATTACGGTTTTGACATTTTCTTCGCAGACTTGTCCAAGACATTTGCCAATGGTGCTTCGATGGTCCTAGCTAATCAGCTAATTCCAAAAATGGAAGAAATGCGAGATGTAACAAACGCATACATCATGCCTGCTTACTTATCTTCGCTACATAATTCAGATGTTGAGAAGTTAACATCGTTAGAAACAGTTCAGTTTGGAGGAGAAGCAATTCAAGATAAAGCGCTGAGAAATTTGCTAGAAACAGACATTCGCTTTTACCAGGAACATGGAGTCACCGAACAAACAGTTTACACCACTGGAAACAGAATGAAAATGGGCACACCGATTTCCGAAATTGGGAAGCCGTACAGCAACCTGTATCTACTCACAAGAGATTCCGATGGCCAGCTTTTACCCGAAAAATATCAAGCAGTGTATTATGTTTCTGGACTAGGCATTACCAGAGGTTACCACGACATGCCAACGCTGAACTCGGCTATGATCAGCTATGGAATGTTTGGAAAAGAGTTCAGGACTGGAGACATCACCAAATACCAGCAAGGTCGACTGCATTTTGTTGGGCGAGCTGATCTGCAGGTGAAAATCAGAGGAAGAATTGTGGATCTGCTCGAAGTGAGTTATTCTTTGTGAGTAGTAAACCCTACCTCCACTCAAAATTCATAATTTGTACTAATCAAACCTCTACTTATACTTCAAAGTAGATCCAGTTCTAGAGTTGAAAGTTTTGCCTAAAATAGGCCCGCTGCTTTTACTTAAATTGCCAGACTAAAGTCTCTAATGTTCCCTATTTAAACTTTCCGGGTCTTCTATCTTATAGCAACTACTTAGAATTTTTAACTCTCAGTAAAGAACACTTATGCCTCGTAAATCTGTGTAAGGTTGGTTTTCGTGCTGTAAATAGTTGCCACATTACTAATTTGGTATTTGGATGCGCACAAGTTTCTCTTTGCAAATAACAATGAAAAGTGTAATATGCCATCAAAAATTTTTTGTTGAAAAATCGAATTTTCCACAATTGCTCACAAAAGAAAGTTGGGGTATGTCACTTCCGTGTGCCTTTCCTTTGTAGGAAATAATACTCAACAGAAGCTTTGCATAGAGACCATACACAGGGCAGAAATTTGTCTGCAGCATTTCTAAGAGCCGCAAAAGCGACCAAAATTACTTATTTAACCAATTTAATACTATCTATTAAAATCCGTATCAATTAGATAGTGAATATAAATATTATAGGTATAAATAGATCCTTACTACTGATTTTAGAAATTACTTTTTTCATTAAATCACGCTCGAAAATCAATGAGAACTTCGATCTCTATGATTTATGGTGATTTTGCGGTTACACATAAAAAATAGTTCCTTGTTAATAAGATAATAGGAGCAAGTGTAACCTTTGATTCAACTGCCTTGGCGGCTGGAAGGCGGGGCTTTGTGACCTAATTAAGGCCGCTCGCGTCCGCGACGCAATTTGCGTCTCTCCCGTGCGCGTGCTCTCTGATCACTACCTAGCCTTGATTAGGTAACGAAGTCCCGCCTTCCAGTTGAACCAAAGAGTATGTGCATACATAAAATCTTGGTGTAGTAAAATGATAAATGCTGAAAATTATGTATTAATTTTGATAACAATTCTCAAATTTCAGATTCGCAACCATGTGACATCGCATGCTCTCGTCGACTCTTGCATTGTCATAGTCAGCGATATCAATGGAGCCAAGGAGTTAGTCGCCTACATCATAGCCAAGGATTCTACTGTTTCCGCTAACGAACTAGAAAATTACCTTTCTAAACGCTTACCATCCTACTGCGTACCAAAGCATTTCGTGTTTCTCGAGAAGTTCCCTCTGAATCAGAACGGCAAGGTTGACAAACGTCGACTGCCTAAAGTAGATTTGCAAACAACAGCAGCTGAGCCGAGAACTGCCCAAGGAGATTTGGAAAGCATGGTGGTGAAAACCTTCAAGAAATATACGGGCAGAGAGTTCATGGCAAACCAGTGCTTTTTCGACTACGGCGGAGATTCCGTAAAAGTGAGTTCCACATCTTTATTTTCTTTTCATTGTGCTTTCTCAGAAATATACTGCAAAATATAGAACTCCTTACTTCTCCTCTTCATACGAAACAATTGAGAGGGGTTTTCAATTTATTGATTTTTATATCAACAAATTAAAAATGACTTTTTGACAAGCAGATTTCTTCGAAAACTGTTGAAAATCACAGTTCATTTGGAAGGATAAAACCGAAATTGCTCCACCGACAAATACAATTTTTCTTCTATAAATAGAATCTCCTCCTAGAGCTTTACTAAAGGAGAGGTTCGGGAAAATTGCGACTGCGAGCTTTTCACACCAGTATGGCCTTCTGGACCCGCTCACTCTTGGACTGCGCTTGAAAAGTCAGAAAAGTGCTTTTTGGAGTTTTACAGCCTGGAGGTTGCTGAGGGGCTGGGCGAGCGAAAACCGCCGAAAACAGCGACTGGATGCAGAATTCTGTAATTCCACCCATTTTGGCGGCAATTGGCTGATCGGCTCAGGCAGCCAATCGCGACTTGGTTGGCAGAAGGCTTGTCCAAGCCCCTAAGCAATTTTTAAAGCTGGATTACGCCAAGATAGCACTTAAAAACGCCTCTGAACCCAGCGCATCCAGAAGGCCAAAATGAATTGGAAGCCCGCAAATGCAGTTTTCCCTAACCACTGCCTTGAAAGGCTCGGGAAAATAACATAATATAAGCTAATACATTTCTTTGAACTTCATTTCTGAACCTCTTGATCTTCTTAGGTGCGTTGTTCCAATTTCGCTTACAAGCATTCTCCTTATGGCAGTTTCAAAATTCATACTCAAATTCATTCCCTCTAACAAATGCCGCAAAATTTGCATTCACAATTCATGAAAATTTGGAAATTTTCCAGTTATTTTTTTCGAATTTATAAATCAAATCTTCATTAGCAATCTAATCATGCATCTGTTCTGAAGAAGTAAAAGTATAAAGCAATAGTTTTTCTCATTGTCAGGTTGGATTGAGTTCAAAGATCTGGTTTTTAATCTGAGTTGTATCTGCAATTGTTATGGACTAGAGATATTCTTCTTTGATAGAGGAAGAACTTAGAAAATAATAATAACTGAGCCGGTCAAAAATTCTTTAGGATTAATGTTTATCATTGCAGGCAATGCTAGTGGTCCAAGAATTGGAGAGAAAAGGACATCATCTCAAATTGAAGTCCTTCTTTGCCCTTCGGACAGCTGAAAGAATCGCTGCTGCCCTTCAACAACTTCCATCGAAATTGAAAACCTCAGAAAAATCTGCGGATTGCGTCAGTTTCGATTTGCCACTTTCTCCCCAACAAAAAAGGCTGTGGTTCCTTGCACGAATGCTTCCAGAAAGAGATTCCTACATAATCCGTCTGCTCGTAGATATCAATGGTAATTTGGAGGTGAAAAAGTTCACTATCGCTTTTCATTCGGTGATTATGGTGAATTCTGCAGCAAGAACAGTTATCATGTACGATAATGAAGAACCGATTCTTAGCAAGAGGTCCGGAACGGAATGTTTCCACGATTTGAGCCAGGTCCAGATCGCAGATCCCAAAATTGATAGCAACTCGCTTATCACAGCCAAATTACGCGAAAACGGGCAAGGTTTCGAGTTTGACATCAGAATTCACCATATTATAAGCGATGGTAGAAGTTTGGCCGTTTTTGGAGAGGAGTTAGTGCAAGCCTACAATTATGGAAAATTAAAGAAATCAGAAGAAGCGCACGAAATTGCGCAACAGCGAGAATCTCTGGATTTTTGGAAAGAGTACTTGAAAGAGTACGAGCCCTACCCTTCCGGAAAGATTGGGAATTCCGGAGCGATCGAAGGAGAAGCAGGTTATATCATGGCTGATCTCAATTTTATTAAGAAGTTGCACGTTGAAGAGTTTTGCAGCAAATATCAGTGTACTCTCTATCACCTGCTCGTTATAGCTTATGTCCAAACGTTACGCTCAATTTACAATAGAGATGACATAATTATCGGAACCACAGTTGCCAATAGAACTCCGGAAAATATGACTACTGTAGGATTGTTTGTGAACACAATCCCATTACGATTCAACAAAGAATTTACAAAACTTGAACAGCAGATTTCATATACCTCGGAGCAAATTCTTTCAGCTATGGAACATCATACCACCCCTTTGACTGAGATTATCGAAGAAGTTGTGAAAGAACGAGATGTCGCAAACACTCCATTATTCCAGCATGTAATCACCTTTGAGAGCACTTCGATTGAAGAATTACCGAAGATGGAAGGACTGGTTACAAAATGTATAACTCCGAGAACGTTTTATACTCAATTTGATCAGAGCTGGATATTTCATCCAGGAGAAGAACTAGGTCTTACTGTGCAGTACGACAAGAGCCGCTATTCTGAGCAGCATGTGAAGGAGCTTGTGGATTTATTCAAACGTACATTAAAAAACTTTCTGGCTGATAAGAAACTTCAAAGTAATGGTCCTCTGATGCTGTTTTCAAGCAACGACACTCCAAGAAACAAAACTCTTGGTTTAGCCTTTGTTAAGCAATGTGCAATGACTCCTAGATTGCTCTGCTTAGAATCTAAGCAGAAAGTCTGCTACAAAGAAGTTTTTGACAAGGCCCAGAGCTTGGCCCCCACAATGCAATTCTCAATTCTGCAATATTACGGTGTAACAGTGACTTCAGATGACATTGTCTGCATTCTGATGCAAGAATCAGTAGAACTTCATACAGCTATAGAATCCGCACACTTACTAGGATGTGCATATCTCTGTCTTTCGCCTGATACACCTATGGAAAGGCTGAAATTTATAGTCGAAGACTGTCACCCGACAGTTTTCCTCACTGAAATGGATCTAAGCCCTCTAAACGTTAACTTCCTCAATGTAAAAGAAGTTCTGCCAATGCGTACAAAACCTCTTCCTTATTTACCTCGCTCCACCTCCGACTCCTTAGCCTACCTCATCTACACCTCTGGCTCTACCGGCTTGCCCAAAGGGGTTTGTATAAATCATCAAAGTGTGATGAATATGCTAGAACATGCTACTAGAAACTACCAATTCAGACCTGGGGCTAGAACCTTGCAGTTTACAAAGAGCAGTTTTGATGCTAGCATCAGCAATACCTTCGGTACCCTACTCAACGGTGGAGTTTTGAGCATCACGGACGAAGAAGCTGATGTCGTGCAGGATCTGTCAAAAAGACAACCCATTGCTGTTCTTCATATGACTCCTATTGTCATGAGCATGTTCGATGACTGGGATCTTCAGAAGTTGAAAGATGTTGAGAAATGGAGCTTTGGCGGGGAAACCCTATCCCCGCACACTCTAGATCCAATGCTCAAAAAAGGCAAGCGAATGATTCAGCTGTATGGTCCAACGGAGGCAACATGCTATCAAACACTGCTCAATATGAAAGTTGGGCATGAATCCACATGTGTTGGCCCTGTCATCTCAAATCTCACCTATGGCCTATGTTCCTTCAAAAATCAGTCTTTACTCAGGCAAAAAGTTGGACAATTTTTCTGCAGTGGTGAAAATCTTGCCAGGGGTTATGTTGGTAAAGGCACAGGCGGTTTTGTGCCTAACCCTTACCAAACGCTGAGCAATCGAGTAATGGGTAAAAACTCGAGAATTTACCTTACTGGAGATGAGATGTTATATGACAAAGCTGGTTATCTACATTTCCTCGGTCGCAAAGATGATCAAGTGAAAGTGAAGGGCCATCGAGTCCAGCTTGCAGAGTTGGAATCTCTAGCAAATAAATTCGAAGGGATCGAAAATGCTGTGACCATTTTACAAAAAGACAAGGTTAATAATAACCATATAGTCTTGTACTTCATTGGACAAAAAGCCAAGCAAAAAGAATTGGAAAGCTGGCTATCACAAAAACTCCCAAAATTTATGATACCAAGCATGATTGTCCGTTTAGATGAGCTACCACTAACAAATAATGGAAAAATTGATAGAAAATTGCTATCAAAACGCTCCGATATCAACAAGAACGAAAATTTACCGAAGGAGCCAAGAAATGACATTGAAAGTAAAGTGCTTGAGAGCTATAGAACCGTTTTGAAGCAAAAGGATCTTGACTTGAACTCTGACTTCTTCCGTTGTGGAGGACACTCGCTACTGGTCGTTCGACTCATCGATGAACTCAAAAAGCAAGGAATAAATGTACAACTAGTAGATGTGTTCATGTTTTCTCGAATAAGGGAATTGGCTGAGCACATAATTTCCCTTAATAGGAAGATCAACAATGAAAAGGACAAACCCAAGATTCGTTTGTATCCAGAAGAAAAGCCAACTCCTCCACAGACAACGTTGCTGCGCTCATTTCGCTCTAGACAGCTGAGATCACTCTATGATATCTCTCTAAAACTTACTCTCAAGGTGAAACTTGAGCGGAAAACCTTAATCCAAATTGTGAATAAGCTTTCCATGGCACATCCATCGCTACGAACTCGTTTTGAAAAAATTAGCGGAACCTTCAAGCTGCACATTCTGTCCGGAACCGAGTGCTATCAAAAGATTTCTTTTGGACAAGGAGAATTTCTCAATCCTCTTGAGAAGCCGCCTTTTCTTGTCATTTGTGACAAAAAGCAAATAGTTATCAAAATCAACCATATAGTAACCGACGGTCACTCGATGCGAATTGTAGTGGGTAGCATTGAGCGTTTACTAAACCATGAAGAAGTTAAGCCGGACCTTGGCTTGCGTCTCCACTCCTGGCTATTTACACAGTTTGATGAACAAAAAGCGGAAAATGTAGCGTTTTGGAAAGCAAAATTGCGAAATTTCGTATACAATCAGCTTCCAACATCTCGTCCACGACAAGTTGCTGTTTCCAGTTCCTCAGCGGGTTTCCTCGACTTCTGCGTTCCCAAACTTTGGGATACTGTAAACTCATGGGTTTGCACCTACAACTGCACCCCATTCGTTGCCCTTTTGGTGCTCCTCTCCCGAGTATTTCAATCCCTTAGCTACGACCCCTCAATTCCTCTGCCAGTGGGCTTCCCAGTCAACCTGAGAACGCAAGAACTGTACAATTCAGTCGGTTACGGTATCGGTACGGTCATGGTCGCTCAGGATACGCGAGGAAAGCTTTCAGAAGTAATCAAGAACGCTATGATACAGGTTGCGGAGGCCATAGCGCATGCATTTTTGACCTACGATGAGTTTCTTGAACTTTCTCCATCTGGAAAGCTTTTTGCGGTAATGCTCATGCTGGATAACTATTCCGTCTATGAAGGTGAGATATTCACAGTTGAACCGGAAGAGGTCGAGGTGACAAAATTCGAGATTACTGTCTACATGACACAAGATGACGATAAAATCAGGATAGAATACAACAAAAACTTGTTTAGTGAGGATTTCATCCAAAAATGTGCTCAAATTATCAATGTTCTTTTGGACAATTGGAATTGTGATTTTTCCAGTCCGGTATGCAGGACTTTTGCAAGTAACGGATACATCTACGATATCAATGATGTCAGGAAGATGCTAGACCCTTTGAAGCTACCAGAGGTTAATATCACAACCTCCGCTGACGATCAACTTCAGCTGACCTGTAGCAGCGATCGATTGTGCGCAGAAGAGATAAAAAGAACCCTTCAAAATCTACCAGCGCCATTGAGACCAAAGAAAATCATAGTTGAACCGACACGTTCATTCTGCTGCCCGCTCAGTAAACAACAACTGCAGATGTACTACTTGTCGCTACCGGACCCATTAACATACCTACTACCGTTCTGCAAAAAATTTCCGAAGACAATGTCCTTGAGGAATCTCCACAGAGCGCTTCTGAACGCAATTCAGAGACATGAAATGCTCAGAACAATATTTTTTGAAGTTGAGGGAGAACCTAAACAAATGGTTGTTTCCATGACAGAAGCCTATGTCCAATTGTCTGTAGAATTTAGCGTAGATATTGGAAAAAGCATTGCTCAATTTGCAAATTTACCGATGCAGCTTCAAAAGAGACCTTTATTGGAAGCAGTTATGTTCAATACTGAGGATAGTTTCGTGGCAGTACTTCGATTGCAGCACATTATTTCCGACGCTTGGTCCACTTCAATTCTAGAGAAAGAACTTGAGAAGGACCTTACTATCTTGGAAACAGAGGATGTTCCCAAGCCACTGCGACAAAGCTACACCTATAAAGATTATTGCAAGGAAGAAGGTGCAAAGGCTAAAATAGACGAGGTGTACCTCAAAAAATTAGCCACAGCCCAAGCGATAGAAATCTCACCTTCAGGAAGCAAAAAAATAAATGTTTACTCTTTCGACTTTCCTGCAAAAATTGCTTCCCACTGGAAACGTGAACAGCGCACTTCCCTTTTTATTATTTCGCTCCGCTTGCTTGCAGAAACTGTTATGGAGCAGTTCAACCTACATAAAGTCAATATAGGATGCCCAACTGCAAATCGTACAACAAAAACAAAATCCATTGTTGGTTACTTTCTCAACAACATCGTCTTTCACATGGAGAGCCAACAAAACGGTGAAAATAGCTTCAATGTATTGCAAAAGCAAGCGAATGAAATTATGAAGCAAAACATTCCATTTATGGATCTGAAAGCTCAGTTTCAGAAGGTGAATAGTTTGCTGTCGCCCATTTTTCAAGTTTACTTCAATTGTAGATACGATTTGGAGTATGATTCTAATGACAGTGACGAGCTTTTGGAACTTCTACCTATAAAATCAGAGTTTCCCATAGAAGTGGACTTGGACAAACGGTCTTCCTCTTTTCGGGTTACATTTAGGATACAGGACGGTGTCTCTGGCGATGTAGGAAAACAGCTTATGGATCGATTTCGACGAAAGATTCTTCTAGGCAAAAGGGCAGAAGACCAAATTGTCTTAGAAAACCGACCAAAAAGTGGAATTTTAGAAAAAGTGCTGAGATTAGCTCAAGAAACGCTACGAACAAGCTTACTCCAACCAAATGACAACTTTTTCACCACCGGAGGCAATTCTTTGCAGATAATCGCATTTGCTGAGAAGCTCGAAGAAGAGCTGAAGATAGAAGTGGATATTGCCGACATTTATGAAGCAACGTCATTTTCTGAACTTGCGGAACGTCTCGGTACCGTATCCGGCTCTGGGTTTGCTAACTCATTAGGCAAAATCGAATCTCACCAATTCGACGCTATTTCGCCAGTCATCCAGGAAAAACTTCATAAAAACCCAAAGCAGGAAAGCTCGCATAAAAGATGTGATCTTCCTTCTTTGAGCTTAGGCCTGTTACTAGAAAAGTTTTGTCGAAGTTACGAATCAAAAACGGCGTTTGTAGAACCAGATAACATTACAAGAAATTATAAAGATATTATGTCAACCGTATGGGCTCAGGCCCTATCCATCAGGAATTCTTACATCAAAATCAATGGAACGACTCTTTTACCAGACACCGTCATTCCTGTCATTGGCCGTCGCTCATCCTCTACAATTTTGAGTTGCCTTTCTGTAATACTTGCTGGGGGTGCATATCTCCCAATAGATGTAAATTCTCCCCCAGAAAGAGTCAGGACTCTGTTTGAAGAATCTCGAGCAAGCTGCTACATTAGCTTCGATGTCCCGGATGTCAACTCATTACCCCTTGAGCTCGGACTCATCTCGAAATATCCAAAAAAGGCCAATCTCATAAGCATCAACTACACGAACGACTTATCGTATGTAATTTTCACTTCAGGAACCACAGGCACACCGAAAGGTGTCTGTATAAAGCACTCAGCGGTTGCGAACATGATGATGGCTGCCACCCAAGATTTTCGAATCCATACAGACGATACCGTATACCAGTTCACCAACTTTGTTTACGATAATAGCGTACTTGAGATCTTTATGACTCTCAGCAATGGAGCAAGACTCTTAGTGGAAACCAGCCATTTCCACCCGAGAAAATTTACTGTTATGATTGGGAAGTACTCAATCACACACTGTTTACTCTTTCCTGGTTTGGTGTCAACCTTTAGAAATGAACATTTTGTGAAACTTGCAGAACTGCGGTACTGGATTGTCGGAGCCGAGAAATTGCCTCAAAAATTGTTTGACCGAGCAATCCAGTACGGGATCAACGTTATTCAAAATTATGGCCCGACGGAGACCACCGCTTATGCACTGACAAAGCACATGCGAAAGGGCGATAACGGTGCAAATTTGGGACGAGCCATACAAAATGTCGAAGTGAGAGTGGAAATGAATGGGGAGCTTCTGGTAAGGGGGGCCGGACTAATGCGCGGGTATTTGAACAAGGAAAAAAGTGCAGTATTGGGACGGGATGGGTCGTATTCAACAGGGGACCATGTTCGACTTCTAACTAACGGTGATGTAATTTTCATCGGTCGCAAGGACAACCAAGTGAAAATCTCAGGACATCGGGTTGAGCTGGGCGAGATTGAAGCAGCCATTTACCGTATACCTCAAGTCAAGCAGTGCAAAGTTCTTTGGCATGAAGAAGAGCAGACACTTTTAGCATTTTGCATGGCCCACAATAATGAAGTAGTGCTAGCGGAAAAAGTACTGAAAAATTGTTCTGCACTGCTTCCCAAGCACATGGTCCCTAATCACTTGATAGTACTGGACGAGTTCCCCCTTACCAAAAATACCAAAACTGACACTGAACAGCTTAGGCAGAAATGGAAGCAAAGGAAGAGAAAGTCAGCCAAAGTCGAAGTAGCAGAAAGCATACTCGGACGCTCAGTCGACCCAGGTCTGGGTTTATTCAGAAATGGAGCAACAACATATCAAGCGATTCTCATTTCAAAAGCTTTGGAGAAATATGGAAAAAACGTGGAAATAGCTGAATTGCTACAGTATCCTCTAATCGACGAGTACGACCATTCCCTTTCGAATAGCCATATTGGAAATCTAGAAGAAAACCGTTCTAGTGCTGACGAAAGGCTGAGAAATATCTGGTCGAAAGTCCTGAAATATAACGAATTTGATCAAAACGACAACTTCTTCCTCGTTGGGGGCCACTCGCTTCTCCTACTTAAATTACGCTACGAGATAAATCAAGAATTTCACACCAAACTTGGCATCCAAGATCTTTTAAATGCTTTGGTATTCTGCCAGATGGTGGAGATGCTGTGCAGGAAGGAGTCCAATGTCAAAATTGTCGATCTTATCTGCTCTCCTTCCAATCCGCATAGGACCCTTGTGTTCATCCACCCACTTTACGGTGGCAGCGTCCCCTATGCAACTTTGATACAGCGCATTCAGGAACGAACGCATTACCATATTCTTACAGTACAACATCCAAACACGTTCGGATTTGAAACCGAGGATCCCAAATTTTTCGAGAGCATTCAGTCACTTGCGAGAAGCTACGCATCAGAGGTACGTAATCTTCAAACGGCAAAGTTAAAAGTCGTTTTAAAAAGAGCACTTCAAATGAAATATTGGTATTGCAAAGAATGGGAAGAGTGCGGCGATTCATTGCAGGTTGAATAAAACATGTCATTCGAAAAGCGTCCTTGCATTACAATATACGTTACAGTAGTCCTACCCTTTGATTCAACTGGCTTGGCGGCTGGAAAGCGGGATTCGTCACCTAATTAAGGCTAGATAATGATCAGAGAGCACGAGCGCGATAGAGGCGCAGACTTCGTAGCGGGCGCGAGCGGCCTTGAGTAGGTCACAAAGCCCCACCTTCGCCAAGCCAGTTGAATCAAGGTGAATTGGTGGTTGAGCAAAATCATGAAATACGTTGCGCAGTCACCTATGTATAATAACACAAGGTGAATTATAGAGGCTTTGAGTGTCACGCGGCGCGGTTCCGCGCGAGCCGCCTCGTTCAAGGCAGTGGTCGCGAATTGTCTGGGACCTGCCATACTTCGCCGAGAAGAGCCTAAAAGCGCCCAAAAAAGCTCGAAAAAGCCCGAAAAAACTCGAGAGCACCAGAAAGAGCAGGAACGCTGAAACGAACTTTCGATAGAATTCTGACATTATTTTGATGTGCGGAGGACAGAAAATGAACCCAAAGACTCGGTTGCGAAATCAACACACATGCCTTGGCGCCACAACGTGCGCGGAAGTGGGTGTTCCGGCACCTTTTGGCGCTTTTGGGCTTTTTTGGGTTTTTTGAGCGCTTTTGGACTTTTCTCGGTAGTTTGCCGGATCATTCTGGGTACATCTTCTTAGGCTCGTCAGCCATTAACGCCTAAGGATACGGTATTGGGAAATACCGTAGCTGAGGGCGAACGTGGCGAGAACTCAAGCGAGGCGGCTCGCGAGGACCCGAGCCGCACCGTCTGTAATATTCAGTTCAAAACCGCTGTAGATTTGCATGCGCATGTCATAGTAAGAGTTGTGATTGCCATGACAAATCGTCACGGATTTTCCCTTAAGAAGCCATACTCAAATCCATTTTAGATCCAGCAAGCAACTGACACGGGTGCGATCACCTTGGTGGGAGCTTCATTCGGGGGCACAATGGCAGTGGAGATCTCCAACTATCTAGACGCACCCTGTGATGTCATTGTTATCGATAGTGGAAGCAACTATGAATCACTGATGGAGTATTCTTTGGAGGAACACTTGAAGGTGAGATACTCTTTTACTTTAGTGAACTCGTTTGTATTATCACTTGCACAAATCCATTCAGTGTTGGGCTTCCGTGGCAAAGCTCATAGCCATTTAGTGACAGTCTCATATGACAGAAAAGAACTATCATGTTTTTTTGACTATGATGTGGTTAGTACTGTGCTAGAGTTACGGAAAAAAGGTGAAGAGGTAGAAAAATCAAAGCCATTTGTTGAAAGAATGCTAGTTGCGCTTCTCGTGATGTTTTATCGGCTAAACTAGGGGGAGCAGAGATTATGTACAAGAAATGTATAGCGCATTTAAAAAATCGTGACGATGGCGCGACCGCGCGCGACATGCACGCACCTTCCGGCAGTCGCATTCTCTTGGTTTTCATCTATACTCGGACGGTTTCTTTGCTTACATATGACAGTATTTGGACATTGGAGGTGACTGAGCTGAGAGTTAAAGGCAGCGTCCAGGCAGATCTGGACCTATGGGGCTTTTACGTGGAAAGTACTGGGCCCTAGCTAAGGCACTGCCCAAGCGGCAGCTTAGGTAGTGCTCTAATGGCTGAGATACTCGCCTCGAAACTGGCCCCCGCGAACGTATTCGCATGGATTCATGGCAGTTTCGCGCCAGGATCCACGCTTTGCTCCATGCCATGCGAAACACTATCGCGGGGTCCAGTTTCGAGGGAAATATCTCAGGCGTTAGGGCACTATCTGAGCTGCCGGTTGGGCAGTGGCTTAGTTAGGGCCCCAAAAGCACTTTCCACGTAAAATCCCTATAGGTCCAGACTTGCCTGGACGCTGCCTTTAAGGTGATGCCTTTTTGTATGAGTGTTTTCTGATCCTGTGGGCGCAAAGACCGCAGTCAAATCCGTCGTCACGATTTCATAAACAACCTATAGGGAGTTCGATTTTACCATCCTTATTCTAATCTGCACTAGCTAATCCTTAATACTTGTGTATATATAAATACTTATTTATAAAACTTCTCGTCCAACCTTACCATATTTTCTATCATAAATTTAGAGCCTGGAAAGCGACCTATCAGACTATGAAATTGATGTAGAAACGCGGTTCTGGATGCAAGTGAACTCATGGGATTTGTTGCAAATGTTACGAGCACACAACACTACCACTTACCCTACTGTACGAAATTTTAACATTTTCTCCATCGATGGATCTGATCTAGGATGGAGCAGGTGAGCTGCTAGATCCTAGCACACAGTGCAGTTTTTGATTACATTATGACTTTTAGATTTCTGGAGGTGACTGCTGTTAGAGAAATCACCGGAACACACGCTAACATGCTGACAGGGCAGCACGGCGCAAAGCTTGCTGCAAAGATTCTTGATATTCTGAATTGTGAGTAATGTGCAGTCAAATGTATTTCAATAGAAAGAATTCTGCTAAGACTCATCGTGCGGAATTCATCAAATCCACCGTTAGTTATCTGTTCGCTTGAAAGATTGTACTATCTCTGTCAAAATTCTTTATTTTGAGTGGCTCACGTGCATCTGAGGGTATGTTTTCTTTTTCCAGTTTTTGCCTTGTGCCTCAAACCATTACAATGCAATTTTATCAAAAATCTTCCGTACCAAGTCAAGGTCAAGATAAAAAACGTGTTCGGATTGCAAATAATTTCCAAGTTTTCTGTGTAAATCTGTGGATGTGTCTGTCTACTAAGTGAGTATAGCTCATCTGTGCCTTATTGTGTACTTTTTGTACCCTTTAATTCAGCTGGCTTGGAGGCTGGAAGGCTTCGTGACCTAATTAAGGCTAGACAGTGATAGAGCACGCGCGCGGGTGAGACGCAGACGGCGTCGCGGACGCGAGCAGCTTTAATCAGGTCACAAAGCACCGCCTTCCAGCCGCCAAGAAAGTTAAATCAAAGATTGTAAGGATTCACGTAAAGCACCAATCTATACGTATATGTCATGCTGTGAAATAAATGCAATGTTTCAAAAGCATTTTATTATTATCAGTCATCTTAGCAAATACTGGACTAATTTCTGATTGACTATGATGATTTTTGAGACCCTTATGTGTATATAGAGGCGCATTTACTTCAAATGACAATTTGTTTTCTGTAAGCCGCAAGTTTAGCATGATTGGCTCTATCCACAAGTGCCAGTATAATTTCTGTTCAACAACCATTATTCCATTTGTGCAGCCACCCTAACACGAAAAACATCCTCCCACAGCATCAGAGACTCGAGGAGAAGGGCCACCTAGTGATTGCCAAAAGATTGACTGTGGAAGAACTACAGAAAATATTTTCACACCAGTGCTTCACCTCTGCTTCGCAGAGGTTCGCACTGGCATCGTGAACCGTGGTAAACTCACTTTCTAAGAGCTTGTCTCTCAAATCATTGTTTGGTTTATTGCAACGTGAGCTGTAGTTAAAAATGAACCATACTCGCTATCTTAACCGCACATGATGTTTAGTATCGTAAATCATTCCTCACTGTAATTTCGTAACGGACAAACTCCACACAACTTCAGATTAAGCCGCTTATTATAAGACACTAGCTGGCTTACCCGGCTCCGCCGTATCCGGACCAAACATGGCACACATACACTTCGGGCCCCGGCGCGTGTCACAGTCCACTTTTCGTTATCGATCGATGTCGATTTTACCGATTTTTATCGATTTTTTCGCAGAGTTCACCTACAGGGCTAGGAGTTGGCACAGGGGGGAAGTGAGCATGGGGATTCCGAATACAATATTAGTTTTCAGAATTATCGGTTACTTTTATTGATTTTATCGATTTTTTGTAAATTTTGACATGCGAGGCTGGGATTTTGCACAGGGGGTAATCGAGCATGCTGATTACGAACACAATATTAGTTTTCAGGATCGTCCATTACTTTTATCGATTTTATCGATTTTTTTGTAAAGTTTGACCTGCGGGGCTGGGAGTTTGCACAGGGGGGTAATCGAGCATGCAGATTACGAATACAATGTTAGTTTTTGGAATTATCCATTACTTCTATCGATTTTATCGATTTTGCAAAATTTGAGCTAGGGGGATGGAATTTGGCACAAGGGTGTAATCGAGCATGCTGATCACCCCCTTGGGAATGATCAGCATGCTCGATTACCCCCCTGTGCCAACTCCCAGCCCCCTAGCTCAAACTTTGCAAAAAAATCGATAAAATCGATAAAAGTAATCGATAATCCCGAAAACCAATATTGTATTCGGAATCCCCATGCTCGATTACCCCCCTGTGCGAACTCCCAGCCCCGTAGCTCAAACTTTGCAAAAAAATCGATAAAATCGATAAAAGTAATCGATAATCCTGAAAACCAATATTGTATTCGGAATCCCCATGCTCGATTACCCCCCTGTGCCAACTCCCAGCCCCGTAGGTGAACTCAGCAAAAAAATCGATAAAAATCGATAAAATCGATATCGATCGATGACGAAAAGTAGCCTATGACACCCGCCGGGGCCCGTAGCGTATGTGTGCCAAGTTTGGTCCGGATCGGTTCAGAAATGGAATTTTCTATTCGGAACATACGTACACACATACAGACAGACAGACAGACAGACAGACAGACAGACATACAGACATACGTACAAACAGACATTCAGCTTTATATATAAGATGATAAGGAAAGGAGTTCGCCTTTTCAGCTTTTCAGAAATTCAATAATTTGGAGATTAGACCCAGGAAATTTGAGAGGTTGCAGAGGTTTGCGCACATTAAGACAAAAGCAGCGCATTACTGCAATGTCAAATTACGAACTGGCAAACCCGGCTCCGCCCGGTTCTCTCAATAATGAATTCGAATCAGCATGTTCACTTACCCCTCCCCACGCTTTACACCCTGCACACTCTGCACACCCTGCATTACCTGCACAACCTGCACACCCTGCACACCCTGCACACCCTGCACACCCTGCACACCCTGCACAACCTGCACAACTTGCACAACCTGCACACCCTGCACACCCTGCAGAACCTGCACACCCTGCACAACCTGCACAACTGTTGATGATTCTGGATCATCAACCATTGATGAACTCTATAATATGTATAGCCTACGGGATCCCCGTAGGCTAAATGGTGAGCTACTCACTCTCGAGTATCTAATCACTCAAGAGTGAGTGGTACCTGTGCGCCAGGAGTGTAGCCAATCGGCGGCATCTCCTTTTAAGCACCAACTCGTATACTTTGTACCTTGTATTCGGTTTGGCTCCGCCTTTCTTCCTATATAAGGAGCCTCCGAATGTATTAGAGGTTGCTCCCCGGTCCACACCGGGACACCTCGATGATCGCTCTCAACTAATCTACGCCAGTGTGAATAAATATTCCACACAACTTCGTCTACCCTAATTCACTTGGTACACACCAAATTGGTGCATCGGCCAGTGAACTTCCTTGCAATTCCTGAGCGACTCCTTTACCTAAGGAACGGGAATTCAAGGCCTAAGACCCGCGTGGCAGACACTCCACTAATTAATTGAACCCTTCTGAGCTCTCTCTTCGTGAGACGACCAGAAGTTAGTAAAAGCGTTAGTTGGCAGGCTTCTTCACTGATTAATTGAACCCCTCTGAGCTCTCTCTTCGTGAGACGACCAGAAGGTAGTAAAAGCGTCAACCGAAGAAATTTCACTGGTCAATTGAACCCCTCTGAGCTCTCTCTTCGTGAGACGACCAGAAGGTAGTAAAAGCCCCAGCTGAATACTTCTCCACTAATTAATTGAACCCTTCTAAGCTCTCTCTTCGTGAGACGACCAGAAGGTAGTAAAAGCGTTAGTTGGCAGAAAATCACTGATTAATTGAAACCTTCTGAGCTCTCTTCCCGTAAGACGACCAGAAGTTAGTAAAAGCGTCAGCTCAAGAATTCTCACCGGTTAATTGAACCTTTCTGAGCTCTCTTCCCGTAAGACGACCAGAAAGTAGTAAAAGCCCCGGTTGAAGAACTTCTCACCATTGATTAATTGAACTCTTCTGAGCTCTCTTTTCGTAAGACGACCAGAAGTTAGTAAAAGCGTCATTTGGTAAGACAAACACCACTGCAAATTGAACATCTCTGTGCTCTCTTTACATAAGACGACCAGAGATCAGTAAAGGACCAGTTGGCAATAGCTAACAAGTTCAAAGTTCATCCAGAATTTGAGCTTCAATTGCTATCAATCCTCACGGTACAGGTTCAACACACCTCACCGTTCAGTACAGCGTACAAGCCAACCAGGCACGCTTGCTGACAGCTAGTAGAAGCTCGGCACTCAATTGCCAGCTCACTAGAAGGCTTCCTTGCACCCAGTAAGGACAGCTATTACAAGAGGCCAGCCTTGCTGTCGTCCTCTAAAGTCTATCTACAACGAGGATACGCATCTCACGTTGCGACGCTCGCCATCAGCACTCAACGGAAGCACCGAACACAACTTTGTGCGATACAAGAATGGCAGCGCTCCAAATCTTCAAATCGAAAATCAACAATGCCTGCGCACTTGTGAAATCATACGAGTCGGAAGTGGATAAAATTGACGCACCATTCACTTTTCCTGTGGACAAGACTGAATGCGAGACATATATCAAAAGGAAAATGGGAGAAATCACGCACTTGCTCAACTCTCTGCAAAATGCTGTCAAACTTCAAGACACTCAAGTGAATGCCGCAATTGAATACATCGGCTCAAGAAACGAGGAAAAGGAAAGAGAAAAGCTGATGACTGAGCTCAGCAAACACCTTGAGTTGAACTCTCTTCATCTGGAGGTCATGGCAGTACAGTGGCAGAACAGAATCCAGTTCCGACAACATGAACTCAAGGAACAAAGTGCGCTTGTGCACTGCAATACTCCAAGCATACCGAGTCAGCCAAGTAGTGAAGTCGGGCAAGCTGGAACTCCGGAACGCAACGAAAGACAGATCAAGATTCGGAAGCCCATGCTTGAAATTCCCACGTTCTCAGGCAACTTCCGGGAGTTCAACAGTTTCTGGACAGTATTCGAATCTCTCATCCACAATGACGAGGAGTTATCCGACACGGACAAATTCCTGTTTCTGAAACAAGCTCTAAAGGGAAAAGCAGCAGCAACTCTAAGCTGCATCCCCGTCGTTGGAGAAAGATATCAGACAGCGATAGATATCTTGAAAAAACATTTCGATCGCTCTGCCAACATGGCAGACATACTCATCAACGAGATCGAAAAACTACCCAGGGCCTCAGATGATCCGAAAGATTGTCGTGGCACCTTTGAAGCAATCAACTCAAGGATTATCCACCTGGAACAAACTGGGGCAAAGATGAACGCAGACAGAATTTGGCGTCGAATAATCTTCTCCAAATTTCCCGAATCCATCTGTACGACCGCCATCCAGAAAGAAGCGGTACAAGATGATCCATTTGA